AAAGCTGATTGCGCACGAACCAAGTTGGGATTCTTCATAGTCCATGAGGATCTACATTTTAAAAATAGTCCCACTCAAAAAGATTTTTAGCACCTCAGGCGGTTCCCTCGTAAGTAATAATCATCAAAAAAAAGTACTCTCAACCATGAAGCATCGATATGATACCAACAGAAATATTTGAAGAAGCACTATAGAGAACGAACGTCTTGTTTGCATCTAATCGAACAAACATTCTATAAACCATTGAAAGAAGCCTGTCACTCTGCGATCTAAAGTTGAAACTGATATAGTTATGGTCTAAGTATCGGTTATTTTGCAAGGTTAGTTTGCAAGTATCGGCGAAAGAATGGAAAAATATCTTGTCAATAGATTTATACCGTTACAAGAAGTGTTCTATGAGAAAACACTAAAATCATTCAAAAACTTTGAAAAAAATACATTTTTCAGATATTCATCATCCATTACACGAAAGGATGGTCATCTATTATCCGAGCAATATTTGAAGGATACTTCTGGAACGATTATTATTCATGACATCAGTTAATAGTACTTTTTTTATAAACGACAATTTGATGACGGATGCATAAAAAGAATGATCGAAAATTTTTAAAAATATACCGTAAAAAAAAATCTCATTCGTAACTGTCATCCTTTCGATATTTTGAAAACGATTCCTTACTACAGATCTTGTTAATATCTTAGTAAGATTTCATTGTCTAGAATCTTAAATAAATCTTACTAAGATCGTAAAATCCGAAAATCTCAAGATTTTATAGAATTTTGCTAAGATCTTAGTAAGACCTTACTATATATATATAGATCTATATAGATATAGATTTCTTTGTCTGTCTAAGATTTTTCTAAGATCCCGTGAGAGTCTGGTAATATTTTATTAACAATTATCATGTGTTAGAAAGCATTCATGGATATCTTGTCCAGATGCTGATAAATTTCATTCACACACCCGAATTCTAATTTGAGTCTTCTGTCCTATATTGTTAAAGTTTGCAATCGAACAGACTTAAAGAATGAAAAGAAATTTCATATTTTTTGGTATCCATTCCTTGACGTTGACTTGCAGTGTAAGATAATTTTAAGTAGCATCTAAGATTTTTATTTGAGATAGAGCCATATCATGCAGTATCCACTATCCCAAAATAGCATTTCTTTATCATAAATATATATATTCATCGAGAAGACTATATACATACCAAATAAATGATCCTGCGATTTAAATGATCAAACAACATCTTTACATCATTTAAGGAATATAATAGATTAATAAACCATTCTGTCCACGTAAGAAAATGTACAGTACAAAACCATAAAAACCAATCACGTACCAAAATTGATCATTAATAATTTAAACAAGTCATATCGATGACAAATACCAAATTTAACACATCTACTATTCGATATTTATAGTTCAAAAATATCAGTGCTATACCGTCAACATTAATTAAATCAAGATCATTAAGAAATATTCAACTGTAAGAAGTATTAATTTCATTGAATAAAACTCGTTTACATTTCTAAAAGCATATACGGTTTATGTCTATGTAAGAATTTATCACATCTGTTTTCTTTCTAATTCTCTAGATATTTCTGTAAAAAAAAAACTATTTTTTTGCGTTAAAAAGCGTTTGTACTACTCAGATGTGAATAACGTGCAACAATGTTATTTTTTATTGTGTTTCTCGAAGAGGGACAGTTTAACTGCGACACCTTATTTTCCTTAATACGACGAAATTTTTTCTATTATCACACGGTGTAATTTTGAATCGAACATACCGACGATAGGAAATGCAAAGAATTTTCGAGAATTCTGAGCTACCAGAAAAAAACGTCGAAACAATATCTATATCATTTACAAAAAGTATATGTTTTCATTTTTTTCACACATATCATTTTCTATAGAAACTATCACATTTTCTCTCTTTTGTTACAGACTAAACATGATTATTTATTCTATTTCATAGGATTTTTTAGAGCTTAGAAAGCTGAATCTTTTGGTACTCAAATAATTAATTTGACTGTACGTGATAACTATTTTTCAGATTTCAGTAATAGTTGTTGACAGAGTTTACTATTTCCAATATTTCAAATGAACATACGGATTCATTCTAAACCAACTAAAATCTAATATTCTATACATAGAATGAAGATTTTCAAACTAATTGCAAGTAGCAAAAATGGACCTATTATATTAGGAATATTCGTTGATATCTAATACTAGACATGCACTAATTATTTTTTGAAGATTATTGAAAAAAATTAGTAGTTCTAATTTGTTTTGTATGTTTTTTTTGCATACATCAGATTGTTCGGCAGGCTTTTCTCTACAAAATGAGGTATAATGAAGTTTGTATTTGCATTTGAGAAGGCGAAAACAAGAAAAATATTACCCAATTTCGACTAATTCCCCACCAATTCCACTTTTTAAAAAATAGTGTATAATGTTTAATCTAATACTGCCGCAAAATTTCCAAATAGTCTGTTTTGTAGAGAAAATTTGACAGTACAATCCCACATTGTGTATAAAAATTGGTAACAATTGATTTGAGAGATATAATTATTTTCGAAGATGCACGAAAAAACCAATTCTAAAATTGATGTATGTCTATCTAGTACCGCTAAAATACCTATGAAAAAATGTCTCTCTTCGATTCGTTGAATGTTCTCATTTATTTAACAAGAGTTTTGTTGATAATTTAATGAATTAGAAGTAAAATTATGGTATATTTTAGTTATATTAAGACACATATACACAGAATTGAGAATGAAATCTGATAATTGTTCACAGTTAAAAAGATTTATAATCATCATCTCTCTTCGTTCTTCTCTCTCTCTTTTTATCTTCACATCTTTTCACATAAATACTATTAAATTACTTTGTGTGCTTCATTGAAATAAAATAATAATGTGTCTTTACATGATGAGAGATACACATACACTATGTTCTCTCGTCTCCTTACATATTTAAATAGAGTCATGCACAAATCCGCTTCTGTTATTTTTCTATTTAATACAAGAACTCAAAAAAATAAAAAAAAAATAAAAAAAAATAAAAAAAAAAAAAGAGAAGAAAAAAAGCATCGGTGCCATTCCTCAAAATCTCAAAAGCAAGAAGAGAAAAAAATAAATATACAAGAGAGACAAATCTAAAAGAGAACAAAAAAAAAAAAGAGATGTGGAATTCTTTTTTTGTTTGATTACGGTAAAATATAATATATAGACATAACCGTTCAATATTGATGATTTCGAATGTTTGATTAGAGAGAACAAGAAGATTTTTTTTTTTTTTTAAAGAAAGTTTTTCTTTTATCAAAAAATTTGATTCAATGATCTTTTGTTAACTATAATGTATGCTCGGATTGCTTATTGGTATCATTTTAATATTATTATTAAAAATAAATTTGATTGAATCTTGTAATAATATTAATTCAATTGATATACAATCAGCTGCTTATTCTTATCCTATTATACTACGTGTTCAACCGACTAATATTAATCATAAAATATTATTGCCAAAAAATCAATATCATGTTATTGTTAAAGAAATAATTAAAATGAAAAGTAGTAGTTACATTCATCTACAAATTAATGATATTATTTCTATATTTGTGGCACCAACAATTATTGATCAAAATGAAAATTGTTGGCAATTATTAGAAATAATTCATTCAAATTTAATTGTATTTTTAACTAGTTCAACAACGATCAATTCATTAAATTTTGAAATTTTATATCCGCCAATTGAATCAACGATTCGTGTTAGAACACATATTCAACGTGTTATATGTAATAGTTGTGGTATGTAGAAAATTTGAATAAGAAAATTCTTCAATGAAGCATTTAGTTAGATAAAATCTTTTCTAAAAACATTTGTCAAATTCAATTTCCGTAGTAAAACGACATACGGGAGAAAACGCCTTTGTGGATGATATAAATTGGTTTAAAAATAGGAACAAATATTTTTAAGAGAGATTTTTTTTTTTTTTTAAAACAAAAAAACATAAATGTCGACATAAATTAGAATTAATACTTCTCAAAAATTTGTGATAGATATATAAAAATGATACTAATCGTATGAAATGGATTGAAACAATGAAGATTGTGTTGATAGTATAAATGCGTAAAAAAAATGTTCATCTAAACACTTGATGATAATAACATTTATAATTTCAACTCAAACAGCAACAATTTTAGAGATTTTAGCATTAATCATTATAAAAGTGTAAAAGAATGTAACTTCTTACAAGATCTCTTCAAAAGAAACAAACAACAAAAAAAGAAAAATATATAATCAGAAAAAAATTTTGAGACCACTTATCTTACCTTTTTCTAATTAATTCTCAATTTAGAATTAGTAACGGTGCTTTCAACTGTATACTTGATCGTCTAAGCAACAATACTAAAACATTTTATCTATCATTAATACAACAAGAATTGGAGAAGATCAGTTCTAAAAGCACGAGGTACTTTAGCTATTCTATACTCTTCTCAATTAGAGATAATAATCAAGAACAAGAAATGCACGATTTTCTACTTGATGAAATTTTAATTGATATAGAGAAAAAATTTACCAATATATGGACTTTTTATAATTAAAACTAAAAAAGATTTTAGAATATATAAGAAAAGACAATTATAGTATCTCTATATGTTGAAAATAATCTAAAAAATAAAAAGCATTGATGAATAAGAAAAAACAACAACAACTAAACGTCATCGCCATGTTTGATTTTTGATAATGGTGATAGGAAACGGATATGAATTTTTTCGTAATGATGAGATATAGTGTTTTTTTATAGAAAATGACAACCGTATATGGTCGAATCTAATATAAAGTTGTTCAACTATGATGAACAAGGAAAAAAAAATCAGGAAAATAAAAAAATAACAAACGCGTATCTCCTATGCTTGAACTCATTTTGATATAAGAGATTATACTACTAAAAAAAGATCGAAACCGTTTGGGAAATTTTTGTTGTAAAATTTTTATCGATTAAGAATAAATAGTCGTCTATAGATACCGAATAAAAAAATGATTGGCACCAAATAATGAAAGCGCTTGTTCATCAATTCTCGTTAAGAGTGGTTGTCATTTATTTATTTTTATCTGTAAGTACTTATGAGAGAGGAAAGAAAACCGGACGTGAAAACGTGACAATAAGAAGCAGTTCAATTGAATATTAAAAAAAAAATAGCGAAAGAATAATGGATCGATGATGATGTTTAAACAAACTATTTTGTACAACAATAGTTCCCATTTTATTTTGTTTTTTTTTTTGTTCAAAAAAAAAAAAATAAAAATGATGGAAAATAAGTAGAAAAGATCAAAACAGATTGTTCTTTTTGATACCTGTCATGTAATTCGTTTATTATTACCAGATGTTTTTCTAATTATTGATATAATCGTTTTTTTTTTCCTTGAATCTTACACTATCGAGTTGTGTTTTTCTATATTAACCTTTTGTTTGATAAAATAACTTTTTATTTTTTATTTTTCTGATCGCCCAATTAGAGTAGTTGAGAGAGGAAAAGTGAGAGAGAAAGCGGAGGTTGACGATATATTCAAGACATTACTATAAAAACAGAAAGAGAAAAAAAAAGAATAACGAATCAATCACATATATTTTACCAATTTTTAAACATTCTCATTTATGTCATTATCACAACAGTTTCTGTACAAAAAAGAAAAAGAAGAAGAATAGTTCAATAATGAGTTGGTACTGTTCTCGCTGTTAATATTAAGCTTATTTCAAAATATGATGTACTTTCTCTTTGCTTGATTGAGTATCCATAACATTACTCTTTGTATATTTAATTGCTGATAAATAACATTCTCATTGTCTCGAAGATATTATGTCGATTAACGTCTATTCTCTCTCGCTTTCTTTAAACTAATTGTTCATGTATATAATACTATCTAGATGAACAATAAATATTGATGTAAAAATATTTAAAAACATACATATATTCATATAGACATACATATGTACGTTGTTCTCCATTTTTTGTCCCCTTTTTTTATATTGTTCTTTCTCTCTCTCTCTCTCTCTCTTTTTGACAAGGATACTTTTGACACTCAGCGATTATTTTAAGTGGAAAATTGTTTCGTATATCATTTTCTATATTTTAAGATATTCTTCTGCAAGTACTGATTTACTACTTTTATGTGAAGAAATCATTCTAACGGTAGAGTGAACTAAATCATAAATATCAATACCTGTATTTCTCGATGTCAACACATATTTAAAATATGTCTTTTTTAGTTTGGATTTCATATTATCTATAGCTAAAAATAACAGAATATTTATTAGCTAATATAGTGTTGGCAATAGCCATATCATGTATTCATTTTTTCTCTCTCTCTCTCTCTCTATATATATATATTCCTGGTCGTTTGGTTAATCTACAATTCTTGAGAGTTCGAAGACATGATAATCTTTTTTACATTATCAACGTTGTCAAGATTTGTTCGTCTCCTTTTTTTTTGGTTTTTTGGTTTTTTGTTTTTTTTTTTTTTTTTTTGCTATACTTGTCATTGAGATAGACGACAATAATTCTGTATAATACATACAACAGAATAAACGTATAACTTTAAGACATATTCACAGTACATTATGAGGTAAGAGAAAAGAAGTCAATTATAACGATGATAGTTTTGGGGCATTATAGGCATCTGCCAACACTCGTCTAAGATGTTAAATCGAAGAGTTTTTCTAATATGTTATAAATAAATCTTTTGTAAACGATGTAAACACTTCAAAATTTAATATATGACAAATAGCCGGCAGAAGTTTAAATGAGAAACAACTTTAGAGTCTGAAAATTATCAATTGAATTGAACTAATTTTCTATTTTATCCTTATTTTTTAATCACTTAATGATACTGTAATTTATCATTATTTAATCGATACCAGCATCGATCAGTATCATATCGCATCATTTTTATTGAATTTTTAACTATCAAAAAAAAAAAAACTTTATATATAATTTCATTAATGATGTTCAATAGTCATTTTATAAAAAACTTATGATTCTTCTAACATATAGTTCATAAATATTGTTCGATATATAATAACTTCTCATTTATTTAAATTTTTTTCATAATTCAAATTTTTCATCTATACGAAATAATGATCACTATCATGAGTGCCCCCCTACTTACTTGTAATCATTACTAGTTTATTACTTCTTATTTTAAATAAAATAGTTTAAACTAAATTGATACTTTTTGTTTTAGAAACCTATTCGCCACAGGTGATTGTGAAAACATTACAATACAAACCAAAATTATTTAAATCGTATAGATTACAGTGTAATACACGAGGAAATCCACAACCAAAAGTATTTTGGAGTAAAAATAATCATACAAAACAATTTCATTCATCAAAAGAATGTAATTCAAAAAAATGTCATATATTTTCCATTCAAAAAAAGTAATAACTATTTACATTAGTATTTTTTTTTATTTTTATCTTAAATGAATATATCAGTTATTTTCTTATATAGATATACATCATACCTTCATTTTCGAAAATTTTCGATTGATGATGTTGGTTTATATACTTGTCGTAAGTATTTTTATTGAATAATAAAAACTATACATAACAATTTGAATGAGTTTTATATTATATCTCTTGTATTTAAGATGCTGAAAATCCAATGAATAAAACACAATCATCAATAACATTAGTCTTTGATTCTAATAATCCATTAGAAGATTATTCAAAAAGTAAGAGTTGATTTTATGATGATTTTTTTTTATTTTTATCAAATTTATTTAGGAAAAAATTCTACATGTGATTATCTTGATCGATGTTATAATCGTGGTCAATGTATTATTTTAGAAAAAAAACTTCAATGTTTGTACGTATAATTATCGTGTAAAATAAAATTTAATGTATAATTAAATTAAATGCACGTTGTTTAGATGTGAAAAAAATTTTTTTGGTGATCGATGTGAGCATAGTTATGAGGAAATGGTTAAAAAACACAATAGTAAGTATAATTTTCATTTAGTTAACTAATATGAAAATTCATCTTTCTTATTCTATTTCTGTTATAGATGAATTATTAGTATTTAAATCGAGATTTATTACAACACTTATGCTCGGTATCGTTCTCTTTTTACTCATAACACTTGGTCTTGTCTCCTGGCTACTATCTCGGTAATTAATTCAAGACAAAATCTCTTCTTGTACCATATTTATTGATTTCGTTTCTTTTTCAAGAGCAGGAAAACGAAACATAAAATTTCAAAATACACCAATTGATGTCGAAACAGTGGAAGATAAAGATGATAAAATCGTTGTACAAGAGTCAAATCATCTTGTTGAATCATCTCCATCACAACCATTGTCAATTAACATATTAAAAATTCATGAATCAAAAGAAAATATACAAGTAAAAGAACATTAACTTAATTTGTATAACTAGAGAATGATCATAGTTTTATTCTAGCCCAAAACGTCAAAAATTTCAGCATTTGTCAATGAATCAATTATCGCCACCAATAAAACTGAAAATACAACTTCAAAAATCAATGAACATGAACTAAATCCTGTTGTACATGTTTCACTTCCATCATCACAAAAATCAGTTTTAATAGGAAAACCATATTTTACTGATACATCAACGAATGATGAAGATGATGAAGATGAATTTAATGATCATGATGAAGACATTATTTTACGACGAGCAAGAACATTTTCATCACAAAAAGAAACACCGATTAATAATGATGAATATGAAGAAAGATTTTCGTTAAAAATGAATAATAGTGAATTACATGGATTGAATAATGATCTAATATTAACAGAAGGTTATCACTATTGTTCAGATGACCATGGATTAATAAAACCATTAGAATCATCATCATCATTGAGACGAATGATACCACCACCACCACCAAAACGTTTTACAAAATATGTATCCTCTCGTTTTCTACTACCAACACCAGTTAATCAGGATTAATTACTGGGTGTGTTTTTTTAATGTATATTTTTTGTTTTTCTTTCTATAATAAGAGTAAAATATCGAGTAACATTTTGGCACATGATAAATCATTGACTCAATGGTAATGGGAAGTTGTAGACAACATTTTTTTTTTGTTCTAATATAAAGATAATATCAGAAGTACAAGAACTCATTTTTATTCTCAGATGATCAAAATGTATTTCAATTTGGCTATGATAACTAGATCAACTAGATTTAAAGTTTGGATAAAACAATTCACTATTGAACATGAAAAGATTAATATTTTTTTTTCTCTCACAATATATCAAAACTGTAATTTATCAATTGTTTTTTTTCCTAATCCAAAATTTTTACAATATATATATATATATATAACGACCTGTAATCAAGTTGATATAAACAGTAACATACGACTCTAATTCAATACTTACAATATAAAATTTCTAAAATGTATTTATTATAGTTGACCTTTCTCTCAACTACTGATAGATTTTACTAAGACTAAAATAGTTTAGTTTAGTATATTCAGTAGATGAACCATTTATTATTATTCTTTTGATCAAAATCCCAAATCAATTTTTAATGACACTTTTATGAGCCATGTAGAGGAAAAAGATCTATAATATGCCCTGTCTATTAGATTATATCTCGCATATTATTTAAATGTTTTCTTTTTTTGTTGTGATATGTGGCGTTTTTTATTCATAAATAAAACATATTTCTTTTTCTACTGTGGTTTTCCTCTTTGAATAAAGAATATGTATGTGTGTGCGTGCAAATATGTTCTTTTCTGTGATTCTAGAAAAGGAAATAAAAAGAAAATCGTTCAATATAGAAATAGTAGTTGTAGTAGTGGGAACGATACAAATATATTTTTCTTTTAATTATTTTATGTCATACTCTTTGGTTCAAATACAGAAGAAGAAAAAAATAAAAGAACAAAAAAATCGAAAAAAAAAAAAAATAAAGAAACTCCTTGAGTAAACTGACAAGGACATACCAGTAGTGAATAGATTTGTTGTCACTCACTATATGTTAGAAATGTTACTCTTGACAGATATATTGTTCAATATAGTATTATTTAAACAAAGATCAATATAATTTTAGACTATATAAAAAAAAAACTATTAGCCAAATGATCACATTTAGTATTTCCGCATGTATATCGTTATTGGTTTAACCTATGTTATATCAAGTTTACATATATTTCTGTCATTAATGAGTTTAATTGTTGGCATCATTTCGGCAAGTCAAGCATTAGTGTGGATGGCACACAGTGTTTCGCCTATTTGGAGTGGCGTATTCGTAAGCATTTTTTCTCATTTCATCGAAAATAAATTTAACTAATATTAAAACTATGTTTTTTTCTTTTAGTTTGGGATTTGTGGTGGTATTGGAGTTATAAGTGGAAAACAAAAGGGTCTTTATTTAGTAAGAAAATAATTAAAAAAAAATTTTCTCAATACTTTATATCAATTGAATTCATTTTCTTTTCTTTTTAATATTAGATATTATGTTTTTGTGCAATTACTATTGTGACACTTATTGTGGCGAGTGTTAATATTCAACTATTGCGTCTCGGTCTTATTAATGTTACAACAGACGGTCATACATATCAAAAAGAGCCAAAAGATTTCATTGTTTTAACAGCGTTAACTCTTAGTTGTATGGAATGTCTTGTATGTTTATTAAGTATACTAATCGGTATTAGACTTGCTTTTGATGCTAAAAATCAAAGATTTCGTAAAAAAGAAGGAGCATTTTTTGTACAAATATTGAGTGAAAAAGATATTGTTGTTGTATCCAAAGCTCCCAGTTCAAAATATTCATCCGGTTGGAACGGGTCACTTCATTCTAGTTCATCTTAGCATACCTTATGTAATAACTTTCATTGTATGTAGTTTTCTATTTTATAATTGTTTTATTACAATTTATTATAATATTTCGTTCAATTGAATTTAAACTCAAAATTAATAGTAAGCTTTAATTTACATTGTCTGATTAATATTCGGAAGACTTAAATTTCTATAAAAAACAACAACAACAACAAAGAAAACGTTTGTTACAGGCACATTCTATTTATTCCTGTAATTCATTATGTTCTAACTTTTAATTATCACACAATTTTTGTTTCTTGTTTTATTCTTTATTTTTACAAATTTGTAACACAATTTTTAACTAATTAATATACATGTTCATTTCGTAAATTTATTTACATCTGCCGCACTGTAATCTTCAAGTTGGACATGAACATTGTGCTTTTTAGATACACGATGACGAGGAGCTGGTTTTGTTTTTTGTGTTGGCTAATATAATAAAATAAAATTCATACATTATAGTATTTTTCATATGTAGTAAAAAAAAAAAGATTATCACTTACGGCTCTTGCCGTTCCTTCCATTGCTGTTAAACCTTCTTGTTCTAAATATGTACGTATCTTATCTTCGTCAAGTCCGTCAACAGATATATCACGCCATGCAGTAATAAACTCTTAAATAAAAGAAATAGCCATGATTTTTTAAATAATGTTCAAAAGAAAAAAAACCAAAAGAACGGAAAATAGTTTTCAAAGTAAATTGAATATTGTTTAGAAGTTTTCTTGTTCAAATGCTTTACTATACCTTCATTAACTGGCAAATCATGTTCACGATCATTAAAAAATAAAATATCTTTCTTATCTTCCCCAGGTAATACTATAATAGCTTCAGATTCTTTCAGATCCTAAAAACATAAGATTTAGTATTATATTTTAAGTAATTGATCGTTTTACTTTAATAATTTTGTCTGCATTTGAAATTGATTCTCTAACATCTTCACCTCGAATTGCACCTCCACACTTTTTATGTTGTTTTCGTAATAATTGTAATAGTGTTTTCTTTCCCTTTATCTCTAATGGCGGTTTATAACAAAATTTTGTCTGATTATCAACTATTTTTACCTCTATTTTTGGATTATCTACAAGTGCCTAAACGCATATACTCAATATAAAATATAAGTTTAACTTTAAATAAAATTGTTTTACTTCAGTAGCAAGCCAATTTTTTATATGAGAATCAACTATAAGTCCTGTGCATTCTTGTATGATTTCATCTAATGTCAATGGATGTGATCCTACGTTAGTTAGATGACGTGTCTAAATAATAAAGCAAAGTAATCATATGATATATTACAGATATTTTTCATTGTTATACTTTCAAATGTTCAACAATTCTTTGAAGTGTACGAAATTGTGCTGGATTCCCAGTACCTCCTGATGATGTGCGAGATTCGCCTGATTCTTAAAAAAAAGTACAGATACTTGTTGTATCAAACGTCTCAATATTGATAATATCGTACCAGAAGGTTTTGGACGGCTTTGTTGTTGTTTAGGTCGTGTACCAGTAGATGTTTTTTGTTGTTCAGTTCTGGGTTTCTTTTCACTAGTATTCGTGGTCGTCAGAGATATACTGGACGCTGCTTTTCGTTTAAACGTTTCAACATCTTTTAAAAGTGCTGCATTCATTGTCCTAGTTTTAACACAAATCTACAAAAGAAAAAGGAGAAAAGTAGTATTTGTATTTTTTCGTAAACTTACAACTATTTGTCATCCACGCATATTTTTTATACGACTATGTGCATACATTTCAAGTGTTTCTGTAACCCCAATTTAGACAATAAAAAGACCTTCTATTTCGTAAAAATTTGGATAAAAAATTCCCACTCAGGTCAGAAATACTAGGACAGCGTATGTCGCTTAGACACGAACTTAGAGAGGTACCCAAGTCAACGAAAACTGATATGTAATCAAAAAGTTTGACTAGTGTAATACAATGATGCTAATGTCGACATTTTCCGGAATAATTGTTAATGACAAATTACGATCATAACAACAAAGAATTAAACGAACGCTCTTCCACCGAACCCATTGAAGTAATCGAAGCACTTCGAGATCACTTTGGATATCTAAAACTCGATGACAACAGTTCTTCGAATTCCCTCAAAACTGTTCCTCCTTTGAATCACTTCCTGGAGCATGTGCTCGAACAAAACAATTGTCTAATTATTTTATTATGCGATAATCATCAACGACTATTGTATACAGTCGAACACCATGCATCATCGCCATTAAATCAAGTTACCTTCCGTCCCGTCCGTCATCATGACCTCATTCAAAGCAGTATCATCACTGTTCGGTCATGCTTTGACTTCAGACCCGCTGACCAAATTTCAATCGAACTCAACAATTAGCAAAGCTTCCTCTAAGAAAACTCTTTTGCCACTCATGTCGATACCAAATCTATCTCTGATCAATCTACCGTCGAATAATAGTCTGACCTTTACACAAACCGACAAACAGCAGCAAGTGCCGCCAAAAGGACAATATCCACCTCTCCGAGTCACAATAAGTAGAACCAGCATCATTCGTGACCTCGTGCCTGGTATTTACCTAGTATTCCACTTTCCACAAGCAATGTTTAGATTCATACAAAATCAGATGCGAGCATCCCAACACTTGAACAAATGATCCATTTGAATGGTCTTAATCGACGTCTCAAAAGCTCTTTAGTGGTTATTTTGTCTGCCGGCAGAATCGATATTAAGCAGAATGATCATCCACATGAAACTATGGCCTTTTCTGAAAAATTAGAACGTTTTCTTTTAATCCACATAAGTAAGGATGAATCAATAATTCTTTCTGGAAACAGTAAACGTTTCTGATCCTTTCTAAATAAATATCGCGCATTCGAAGGGGATTTGCTAGTAATTCTTCCAAACGACTATTCTTCTGCGTTACGTGTGTTTTTCTTACTTACTATTTATACTAACAATTTTCGCTTGTTGAACAGTCGAAATGATGTCACGGCTTTAGTCCTCTTTCTTTTTGCTGTTCTATACTTATTCGAGGAAATTCCTACCTTTTTCTTCTTTTCCTTTTTTTACAAATAAAGCTTATACTATTCTACTGCAACAGACGATGAATCTAGAGCTGTATTCCTATCACATTTCTTTCAAACAAATTTCTCCAATATCGTCGGGCCACTATCATCTCCAGCTGGAGCTCGACCTAACTCACCCGAATCTTTCGAAATAATATTCGATATTTCTGACGTTTTTTTCTGCTATTTCGAAACTCAAAAATAAAAAATCAATGAACGTCGACGGAACACCCGTCAAGCTTTTAAAACTTTGCGCAGATGTAATCTCATAATAATTATATCGTATGGTTTCACTCTCCTTAAAATCCGGTATCTTTCTGCAAGCTTGGAAAGAATCTATCGTTCGCGCGATACATAAAAAAAGAAAGTAAATTTTTCGTCAAAAACTATCGCCTTATCTCCAATGTAAGCAAAGTTTTTGGAAAAGACCATCCATAAACAACTACTCTCATTTTTAATTTCATTAGATATTTTTCCGCAAACTAGTACGATTTTTGCGCAAATTCTTCTACGAAAGATGCAAATGTTTCGTTTGTTATCGATAACATCTATCAGTGTTTAAACAAACGTTGTAAAGTTATGGGTATTTCTTTTGACTTTGAAAAGGCGTTCGATCGTGTTCCCCATTAGATTCTCTGAAGAAAACTATTTCCTGCTGTTATCTCGGGCAGCCTTTTTGAGTGATTCCAGTCCTATCTCTCGCAGAGGACTCAGAAAGTGGAAGTGGGCTTGATTTTTTCGTTCTCTGTCGCATAACCTCCGGGAGTCCTACAGGGCAGCACACTTGGTCCTCAATTATATTTGATATTCATCAACGATCTACCAAATTCACTGGCATTTTCGTGCCTAGTGTCCCTTTTCGCTGATGATATTTTTATTTTGAGTGATCCAGATGAAGCTCAGTCCTGCATAGATGAGGTTATTTCATGGTGCGACACAAATCTAGTCAGTTTAAACATCGATAAATGTCAGTGGCTTGTGTTTTCAAGTATTTCAAACACAAATTCATCCAGGGTGTGGAATACGGCTCGATTATTCATGAGTCGTCATATGTCACTCATCTGAAGGTATTAAATACAGTACAAAAATAGCTGCTAGAATAATCCTCAAAAATTATTCCTCTAGCTCGGACTCACTTCTGGCAGGACTAAATCCATTCACTGTGAGGAGAAAATTCTACCGTTTTTCATACGTCTATAAATCATATCATGGAAATAGTTTACTGTCATCGATAAAAATGATTTCTTCTCCAACCATGCGGCAATCTAGTCAGAAATATCACAATAAACCGATAGCTAAAAGGTTCTATTTTCTGAAATCGTCCGGTGAGTCTTTCATACCAGGAACGATCGATGAGTAGAATACTCTACCATCGTCAATTGTTCACCAATCAATCACAAATGAATTTAAAATTATTCTGAAACAACATTTTTCAGTTCTAAACTCTGCCATAAAAACATCGACATCTCCTGTGTATGAACTTTGTTGTGGTCTGTGGTTCTCTTTCCTTATTCATGGTCTACTGTCTTTTTCTTTTTCTTTTTGTTGTATTCTACTGAAACTCTTTCTTTCTTTGTTTCTTTCTTTCTTCCTTTCTTCTATGTTACATAAGCAGTGTTTTTTCTGTAACTACCATGCTTGTGCAAAAATAAATTCATTCATTCATACTTTTGTCTATTAAACTGCTTTCAAAGCAATTCTTAGATAAAACGATCAACATTAGATGGCTAAACTGGAAAGTATCACCAGAAAGTATTTCACTCAATCATCATAAATATTATCGCTGAAATAATAAAATACGGATTAGCTAAATATAATAAAGATAAATAAACAAGAAGAAAAAAAACAAAAATATATAATATTTACAATAGAAATAGATTAATGTCTGATGGGCAACAAAGAAAAAAGCTGAATTTGACAAAAAATAATAACACAGAAAAAAGAAGAGCAGACCAAAAACAAATATAAATCATATTTAGTAAATGCGTAAGAGTTCTGATTTCTCATTCTATGCCGCGTGTGATGCTTATGTCAGCTTCTTCATTGTCCCTTTCGAGCTACTTATATCACTTGGACAAATTAAGAGTATCTTTTTGCTATACATGAGTCAAGAGTGAATAAATTTAGAGTACTGTAATCCGGCGTCATACAAAAAGATGTAAAGGAAAAGAACAGATGAAAAGCAAATACAAAGACCTGATTATTCGTTATTTTTGTTGCTATTTACAGTATTCGAAAGCAAAAAACAAAAAAAAACACAATAAAACGTTCATTATAGGATAATATCTTTTTTTTTAAAGTTTTTTTTCTCCATAATATGACTGTGTTGCAACACTGCTAACACGAGCAAATTTATCCCATTTACGTTCAACATAAAAAGAATATATTGACAAAGAAAAAAGTACGCAAAACTCTTTAACATCTAAAAAAAAAAGTGTCTGGGACTAAATCAAAAGAAAAATTCTTCTGTTTATCGTAGATCTACGGTTATTCTTTAACACAGCAGCTTTCTGGCTTGCAGATACGATTTTTCTATTTAAAAAGCACGTGTATAAGTGAGATTGTAAAAAGACACTGACGTTTGAACGAGTTCATTGAACAATTAGAAAAAGAGTAGCATAACAGAAAAAAAAATGAAATAAACTTTTATTGTTATATCTTTGAAGACAAAAAAGAAAACATAAAAATAAACCTTTTTCTTGTTCACAAGAGAAAAGTGGACCATCACCACCCACCACCATAAAACACAAAAGAAAATGAAAATATTCTAAGCTAAGCCGTTTTGTTCTCAAATTGTATGATATATTTTTTTTCACCGGCTACGCAATGTTCTCTACGTTTTCTCACCGGGAATACAGAACTCTGTTCTCATCTTACATAGGATAAAAACAGATAGAAAAAACAACAACCGAGAAGTGAGAAGAAAAATGAATTAATTTTTAATATAGAGAGTACCAGACACTCTAAATAAATACAAAAAAGAAAACTGAAAAACGGCACACAATAGAATACTTGCAGAGTCAGAAAAAGAAAACAACTAAAAATATATAGCAACTGTGTTTATAAAGAAACACATTTGTTCTATGCTGTATATATTACATATGTATAAAATTGAGTTTTGCGTTTTAGAAGTTATATGAGTCGAGATAAAAACAAGAAAAACATACATAATCACCCAGCGATGAGAGACATAAAAAATTCTTTTTCTATGAAAAAAAAAAAGAGTTGAAAGAACAAAAGAAAGACGACGACAATAATAATAACATCAGTAACTAGTCGTTCAAGTATTTGTTCTTCACTGTTTCAGCACACAAATAACAACAACGGGTTTGAATATCCAATACTCTCTACTAATCCATTAAATTTTCTGATTTATCCACATTCGATGTTGGTGATATTTCGATTAGAGGTTGATCATTATTTTCTATTAGTGACTGTTCCGATACTATTAAGAAAAATAAATAAATAGATAATAATCGATGTGTATAAAGTATAAAACTTACCATCATCACAAATCGCACTTTCAATATGACGGTATAATTCATCAAACATATTTTCATTATTTGTATTATTGCCATCAGTTCTACTGTTTGATGCTGAAATTACTGTTTGTGGTAAGCCTCGTAACATTAAGGATTGTTGCTGATAAATATTATCTCTATCATCCTTATTAGGATCACCTAGAAAAACAAACAATTTATTCTATATGTATATATATATATATCACTGTTGATGATAGTTTGAAATGATAACATACTAAAAAATGAATTATCGTCTGATTGCTGATTCATAGATGTTAGTGATTCATTATTTTGTTCGTGTTCAAATGAGGACATTTGTTTTTTTGCCATAAAATCATTGTTAGTATATGAATTCAAATTTCCTGGCGTTGATGTTAAATGCATCATTTGTAAATCAAATTGTTGTTGTTGATATTGTTGTTGTTGTTGCTGCATGAACACTGATGTATTATTAAAACGTAATCTATTTGGATCACTTAAGGTTTTACACAATTTATTACGGCCAAATTCGTTATTATCATTATTATTTGAATGAAATGGTCCAATACTGGTCTTTCGTACCAGTGGTTGATGTAAATTTTGTTGTGAATAATTTTGTGATGGTGAATAAGGGAAATGGGATCGAACTTTTTTATTGTTAGCGTACTGTTCAGGAGAGAATAAGTTATGATTATTATTTTCATTTCTTATATAACGTTGTTGTTGATGGGGCGTCGAAGGAAGTGTTAAACATTTTTCTAATGGTTTTGGAGGTTTAAAAGCGGTATTTGATGACAAGAGTTGAGAATCATCAAGTACTCTTTGTGACAATATAGATTCATCAAAACCGTTGGTGTTTCTATTGTAATGATTTGTTGAAAAAAAAGGAGATTGTTGTGATTGTTGCGAAGCGACCAGCGCAATGGGAGATGGACGACGAATTGTTAAATTATTTTGATCAATACTCTGTTGTACTGTTAATGGTCCTAAGGGTTCTGAATTCCATGAACGAGCTAATGGAACAGGTCCACCAATGCCATTACTATTGAGATTATCATTTCCAATATAATCATTGTGATACATATTGGAATAACACGATGTTAATGGCACTGTTGGAGGTAAATTGTTTCCCGTAAAACCTGCACTTGATGTACTGTGAGTACTCCGAAGTAGTGTATGCTTATTAGTTGGAATGGATGTCTGTTGTTTTAAACGACGTTGATAAACAGAAGATGGTTGCATAATTTGTAATGATAGTTTACCCATACTTTGTAATATTTGACATAATGTACCACGCCATTGTAATAATAGAAAACGTTTTTGTTGTGGAAATGCTTCATGTTTATAACATTGATCACATAATCCCACCATAGTATTGCAGATCTCAGCCAAAGTGTTTGTATTTGGAATCTTTGATGTTATCATGTTGTTGATATTAGGGGTGAGACGATTACTAATCGATGAAGATAGTGAACTAGATGGATAAATGATATTATAGACTAAAAAAAATGCAAAACACTGTAAATAAGTTTTATAGCTCTAAAGAGAGATACAATCGAAATATTAGAAAAACTTGAATCTACACAGTCAAGACGATTACTCTACTTTGCTCTCATTGTTCAAGTTTTTAAGTTATCTAATAAATTTACATACTTTTTTCAAGGACTTGCATAATTATAGTTGGTAAATCTTCCTCATCATCTTCGAATTCATTAATACTATTATTTTTACCAATATCATTATTATGATCTTTTTCTTGTGTTTCATGATTTTCATTTTCTTTATTATTATTATTAACATCTTTTAACTTATTCACTTTTAGATTAACACCGCCACGTATTGGTGTTAGTAACATATCAAGAAGTTGTTGTAAAATTATTTTTATATCACATACACCATTATCGATATCGTTCAACATTTGTTTTAAATGAATTTTACGTTCTTTTAATTTTTTAACATGAAGTAAAATTTTTGAACATGCACCATCTGTTATTAGTTGATCTTTCAATTGTTTCAATGTTAAATTCATCATTTCATCATAAGTTAATTGTGAGAAGAATATAGTATATTTGTGTAAACGAAGATTTTTCAACCATTTTGGCACATCTAAGAATAAACAAATGATAAAATCGGTGAAAATACAAACAAATTAACTTTACCTCTCATGCCTGTATTTGGTTGTATAAACGTATTTCGTGGTAAATTTGATCCATCTACACCTAAATATTGTGAAACACGATCATCAGGTCGAGTATAATATCTTAATGAACAAAATTTTTGCAGTCCAATATCAGCATTATTCATGGTAGAATTGTTATTGTTTGTTTTATCAGAAAAAAACTGTGCAAAATTTGTACTACTAGAAGAGGGATGTAGATAATCATCACCCATATGTGAATTATGTCCAAGACGTTGTTTGTCATCATTCGGAGTACTATATCGAAATGTATTCAACACAGACTGTGGATTTAATGATGATTCATCTTCTTCTTCTTCATCTCCATCACTAATTATTGTATGACGATGAAATCTACTTTCATTTGATGTATCAGAATAAAAAGAATTTGAAAGAGTTGTATGTGGTGCACTCAATGCTGGTTTTAATGTGACATGTGGACGATTTGTTGTTGATACTTCAATTTTTTTTTCTCCCAAGATATTTATTGCCGCTGTTGGTGATGTTTCATCAACAAAACGTGGAGATGGTGTTTTTCTTGGTATTTGTTGTTCATTGATATTCAATGATTCTGGAGTTGGTGAAGATATTGTTTTAGTTACGAATGGATGATTATAATTTACATTTGTCAAATTTGCTGAATGAGATCTACCAATAGTTGAATGTGTTGAGATTGAAGATGAATTATACTCTTCATTTACATTATTATATGTACTAAGATTAATACCATTTTGTGATGTATTTGGTATTTCAGTTAAATCTACACCACTATCCGTAAAATTATTACGACTCGTTGTTGATATATTTCGCCAATTAATTATCTCTTCTAAACGTGGTGATACTGTTATATCAGAAAAATTGATTTGTTGAGATAATGGTAATTCTTGTGATCGAACAGGTCTAATGGCTGAATATCTTTGCAATGGTTGATGTAGTCGTTCCTCTTTTGTAGATGTTACAGATATTTTGTTATTTGAATCAGTATTTGAATTCTAGAAAAGATTAAAATAAATTATTAACAAATAACTTTTTCATACTTAATAATTATTATTTACCTCTTCGTTAAATGATTTACTATCATTAACATCATTATTAGTCTTTGAATATGTTGTTAAAATTGTTTCAAAATCTTTAATAGAATCGTTAAGTTTTTGTAACATCGGATGTATTCTAATAAAAAATAATAATTGTCGACAAATAGATACAAGATTATCATTAATTAATTTTTGATTATTATGATTATTTTTTGATGGTGATGAACTTGGTGACCATGGAACAGAATAAATAAATTCTTTCTTAGACAATGATGATGAAAGTGATTTATTAACATGATTAAATATTTGATGATAGGCATTTAATAATTCATCATTATCATTATTCAAATTTAATAATGGTAAATAGAGTTGTAGTGATACAAGTATTTTATCCAGTGGTTGATCTAATAGTACACGTAAAATAGCTAAAATAAAATATAAAATATATTAATACAATAAAATCTTTCATAATTATAAAAATTTGATCGATACTTACGTGTTGTATTTGCTTGATGTACAGTCACTGTAAACATATCCGTTGTTGCTTTTTCAACGACACTCGATATAAATTGATGTAAAAAATACTTATGTGATAATTCTTTTAATGAATTTGTTAATTCAATAATTGAATACAACTGTTCATATTGTGTCCAGTTGTTAAATTGTCGTTGAATACTTGTTAATTGTTCACGAAAATCATGTGATAATAACATGGTTAATGGCTTTTTATTTTTATGTTTTTTAATAAAAAAAATTGAGCCAAATTATTATTCAAATAACATGCACATCCGATGGTTGATATATTTATTTATACTGGACAAATATTTTTCATCTACAAATTTAAATATATTTACATTCCAGGGAGAAAACAAAATGGTATAGATAATATTTTGAAATATTTTGACATTTATCATAAAAAAAAATAGATAACAATTGAACATATGGCACTTTTATATAAAAATGTCAATTCTTTTATTTATTAAAAAGAAAAGTACAAGAAGATAAACTGTTGATACTTAAAATTCTCATAAATTTCTTTAATAGTAGTATCCAGTATATTCGAGAGTAGAAAAATAAATTTGAATCTAAATAAGCATAGAAACGAAGAAAGTAAATAGAGTGTATGTGAATTAGAATACTAAAAACTTGATCAAAAACTTCAGACACTTTTTTAATGCTAATAATCATATGATAAAAAACAACAACAACAATATTTTTTTCTTTAAAGGTCAGAAGAAACATTAACTAGATAATGTATTTTCTTTTAGAATTCAAAACTTACAGACCACTAATATCTAACTCACTGAATCAATTATTTTACTATCCTGTTCTTATTAATATCATATATTCCTTACCATACATATAAAGGCAACAACACACCTCGTCGAACATGTTTTTTCTTCTTTTGTTATTTTTTTTTTTCTATTTCGTCGTATACTTTTTTCAATGTCATGTCTCTTTCTCATTTTTTTTTTTTTTTTTTATCATAAATGTCGACATATAAATTGTTTATTTCTTAATTTTTCTTTTTCTGTTCTGTTCTTTTTTCTGCGACACGCCCATATGGATACTGTGTGCGCACGAGCATGTCATCAACATTCCACCTTTTTGATTTCTTCTTCTGTTTCTTCTTTATGTATAAATGAGACGCTTACATGGGATTTACTTCCATTACTTCTGCTTATTATATATATATATTTTTTTAGTTATATCATTAATAACTTCTCCCCATCTAAATGAATGTTAAATGAAGACTTTAAATGTTGTAATTTATTTGTTTATCTCTACTATTACTAATCAATACCTGACTTTCGTGCATGACTTTGCATTTAATACCATACTCTAAAATGAGATCGAGCGTAAAGAAAACCATTTAGATAATAACTATGTTTAGAGCTTGTTAAAAAAACAAGAAAATCTAGATTAATAGGTAAAACAGATTAAAAATTGGATACTATCTTTAGTTTCTATGCAACGCAGTCATATATCAATCGTTGATAATGATTTTTCGTTCCGTTTGACTCATCTAAGTTCATCGAACAAGTAAAGGTGTAATGTCTGTATCACATAAAATCAGAAGAAAAAAAATAATATATTCGTAGGCTGAAGATTTGCTACTTAAAAATTTCGGAATAACATCGGTGATATCTTTGTCTTTTTCTATTTTAACTCTTAATAGTCATGAATGCAGTACAAAAAGCGATGAAAAACGAAAACTCATTCTAAAAACCAAAAGTATATACATATGAAATAGCACCACTGTTCTCTGTTTGTACTGTTAGGGTTTGTCATTCTCTGTCCTCTCTACGCATTAAAGAAATTAGATATGCAATGGTAACGGTAATTTACCGTTGCATGCCTAAAAGAAACTCTTGTATCTTACTTTCTATGAAGTGCATTCACTCAAACTCGTAAAAGTACATTTTAAAAAACCTTCATGCGTACAGTAAAACGGTTATAATTCATACACGATAATAATATAAAAATAAATTAATAAGACAAACCTTCGACGGCATTGATTACATTCAAAGCAAAGGCTAATGATGATATAGAAACAAATTGTTAGAATCAGTATAAAAAATTCAAAACTCAACACTGTTCCAAACATCGCGCTAACAACCCATTGAAAAAAAGTTTGCGTTTCGTCTGATAAAAACGCGTGTTTTTACATGTTTTGTACGAAATCGCGAAGAGAAAGTTTCTCCAGTGTTTTAGACGACACTCGCAAGATTGTTCTATCTCTCTCACCAGATATCCAAAGGTTTTTAGTGGCTTCTTTATATTTCTACAATAACATTTTTTTTAAATCAAAACATTAGCCGTACGATCGTATATTTTCATTTTAATATTATAGTGTGTGGTCTGACAATTAATGACTCATAGAATTGAAGGAAAATAAGCGACATCTCTCTTTTAATGTGTGAAACTCAAATTCATTGGATGGAAATTTCAATTTAATTCCAGTGAATTGGAAATTTCAATGGGAATTTATATTCTCGATTTCGTTCTGGTTCAAGATTAGAGCTTAAACCAAATTCCAATTATAAACCAAAATAATGAAATATTCACATTGAACTGATCAAATTTTTCGGACAATTAGCCCTTAATGAGAAAAATCGCTGATGGGACTACCGTACGTCACTATTTAAAAAACCAAGGCTGTGGCGATAGAGGTGGTGTAAAAAAGTGTACGCTTTCTTGCTTTTTTGATTTATTACTGTCTTCTGCTCATAATCTTTCTCCCAAAAAAATTTGGAGGTATTAAAACAATTTTTATCTTTTCCCGAAAAATTTAACTCACTCTGATTTTTCTCTCGTCTTGGTCCTGCAAAAAAAAAATAATCACCTTACTACATACAGAAACACAAGTCTTCCGCTATACGTTAAAAAAAATTTCTGTAAATATCGACCTTTCTGAAGTTTTACATTGACGTTATATGAAACGAGAGCTAATAGTAAAGTGAAAAAATGCAACTATATCGCTAATGTTTTGATTTAAAAAAAATGTTATTTTTGAAATATAAAGAACCCACTAAAAAGCTTTGGACATCTGGTGGGAGAGAACAATCTTGCAAGTTTCTTCTAAAACACTTGAGAAACTTTTCTTCGCGATTTAATTGGATCTTACAAAAAAAAATGTAAAAACAGGCGTTTTTATCTCAAAACGCCGGGATCTTTTCAGCGAGTTGTTTTACGGTAAAAGTGTTCCGGTCTCAAGAAAAAAAAAATTATATTACATTACATTTTATTGTCAAATTTTGAAATTTTATTATTAAGTGTAATAGCGATATCAAAAAGTGTTAAACACAATCTTACGAGTTATATATATATATTATTAACATAGATACTGCTGCATGAATAAGCTATTATATGATTGGTAATTATTGCCATCTATATTTTCTAACAACCTCAACACTAAAACTACGACAAACATTTGGTGAATTTTAAGTCTTCGACTTTATCTCGACTATATAGAAAATAAAAACTAGCACAAATTATCTAAAAGCTGATTTGATGATCCGACTTAAGCGCCATCTATCCTTTACCGCCTGCTTTTGGGCGGGACATGAAGGTCGTTCTGTCTCGATTTTCGCATCTTCACATCATCATAAGACAAATAAAGATGTTTCTCTCCAAAAGGTAACGTCGAATTGAAACCAGAAAAAATTGTACAGTTTGCATCCCATGTGTTATCCAGGGCGTTCTTTTTGCTGTAAAGTTATATTACGTAAATATAAATAATCACATCGTCGTATAACGAATGATCTTATTCAACCAAAACACACATGGGTTAAAACGAGATAGAGTTCTTAAGCTGTGCTATTAAAAATATTTCGCAGATGTAGAATATGTTTAATTTTAGAACAAGATTCAAAATATTTTCGTGCAACAAATATGTACTGAAAACGGTCCTAGTTAAACAGTGTAAAAACGGTGCAATAATCGTCCGTTAACAGAACGGTAACGTTTTCGACGACCTGGGAAGCCTAATGTATGCAAAAGATATATATGTATATTATTTCTCTACTAATGATCAGGTTTAATAAGATAAAATAAATCAAATACATTGTAGAAAATTAAGTGCACTTTTTTGGACAATGAATTTGATACTTTGTAAAGTATCCACTACAGGGCACTGCTTTTCAGTTTTATCGTTGATAGTGGCTCCAGAAAATATCTCATTCATCATCTAAAAAGTGCCATGAGGCGCTTTTCTTTTCAGTGTAGTCAATATCTTTTGGAGACTGTAACGATACTGTACTTATAATTTTCTTGTACGTCAACGAAATATCTTTCTTGACGAGTACATTCGAGTAGCAAATCGTCATGAGCTGTAATTTAGTTGACTAACTCAATACTTTTTATTGTGTCATGCTCTTTTCATATCTAATTTGACATCTTTATTGATTTATCATCATACAGGTGTATAATCACGATTTCTTTTGTCAATAACTGATGAGTCAAGGAAAAATACTTGTCGAGTATCTTCCTACAATAATCGTTTTAATCTTAACATTCCTCTGCGCAATACGCTGTCAAATATTGGACATCTGCCTTGTTTCGTTTTTGTTCTGCTCCTAATCTCGATATGTCCTGTACCTTATGAAATAGGACAATTCCAAATATTTTAGTCAGGATCAAAGTGGGATGAATGACATGATTTACATGCATCAAAGCAAGTGTATCAAATACATGTACTGCAAAAGTAAGGGGACTAAATATCATTAAACAGCCAGTTTGTGTTTTATAATCGAAGCTGTGTGTATTCATTCACACTCTAAACCGTTAGTAAAACCTTACTTTTAATAATGCATATTTTTCTGAAAAGCAAAGTAACATTTAAAACATCGTAGGCTAAAACTCAGCAATATACAAAAAGAAAAAAACAAGCGAAAATATGTGCTATTTCAGCGTTTTCTTGATGAACGGCAAGGTCTTAGAAATAAATAGTTTGTTTGTCTGTCCACATAGCAACGTATATGGAAACATATTATGTTATTCAAAATTTTCGAAATTATTATTTTAAAAACAATAATGAAAGATTTTAATTAAAGATTTTAGGTGCTGTTACTTTTCTGATCTGATATATGTAGATGAATGCAATAAAAAGCTGAAGTCATAATAAACACAGAAAGAGTGAATGTGTGCGTATGTTTTGATATTAATTAAACATAAAAGAAGTTGCATAGACCAAGGATACTTATATTGTTATAAAATCAAATCGTTGATACACATGGCTTATAGTATGTCGTTGGGTATATAAATATTTAATATTTTAGTGGATCTCAAAATTTCGTAAAAAGTGTTTTCCTATCAATAACAAAACATAAAACGTCAAGGGACTGAATGAAATCATAGATGAACGTTAGCTAGTTGTCCAAATTTGTTGAAATATTGATAATGTATATGATTAACGACACCTAAATGTATTATTCTACGTTAGTAAAAAAAGATGGTATCAATCTTTTAGTACAATTGTGGCTGTAATACTCTTAACTTGGTTTAAAATGATTAAAAGTTTATTTAAAAATGTAAAATTATTAAAACACGAATTTTCGATCTATTTATAAATACATCAACATTTTAGGCATATTTAATTTAAATAAGAAAGTAGAACTAAAACACATACTAACAATTATTCATGCTAAGAAACGATGATTGAAACACGACCAGAAGATTTTAGAAACCTTCATTTTTGACTATATTGACACTCACCTACAATTAAAAGGTAAAAAAACAAAATGCCTAAAACTTATGAGTGTTGCTTAATATGTTGACGGTTGTTGAAAAATATTCTTCTCGGATACAAGGAAGTTCATGGACTAGTGTTTCCATCTTTTACTTTACAACATTTTATTGAAAATGTATCATGTACAAAATGTAGCAAAAACTAAATATGTTATTTAACAAGAATATGCGTTTTAAATGAACAATTAACCAACAAAGATGACTAGAAAAATAGAACAGAATGATTATTCAAAGTAAATAATCTAAAATAAGTAAATATAACTTAACGCCTCACACATCAAACAACTTGAAAACGTTAAATTTTCAGTTTGGAAGTGGAAAAGTTCTTGATGACGGCGAGAATAAATCATCGGAAAGATTTGTATTATTAACTTCTGTATCATCGGTTGTTATCGGTAGTACAATTATTGATGGTAAATGTTGGCGTATTTTTTCCTCGTCTTCATTCGAAGGTCCTACAACAAAAGTATCGTTCATTGATGATAAATTCTTAGACATCATAGATCAAATATCATTGCTTACCATAATAACTGAGTAAAATGGGTAAAAATATGAGGCCATGTAATGCACCCAAGACGACCAATGCAAAATACATTCGAAAATAGAATACTTGAAATAATTGTGATTTAGCAAAAGCAAGTACAACTACACCACCAATTTTAGTCAAAGTTATACCAGAGAATACCTAGAACAATAACAGAAAACATGACTCTCGAATACTATCACTGATTTATTTAACTTACTGAACTACCCATTTCTGATAATGATTTTCTGGCACGATCCAAACGATTTATTCCATGAGTAACAGCAAAATAACGAGCAATATGTGCACAAAATTCAACAGCAATACCTACCGACTACAAAAAAGAAAATAATGCATAATAATTCTATAAGATGAAATAAATAGTTAAACTTTTTTTTCTGAAAAATTGAAAATAGAATATAATTGACATTTACCATAACAATATTGACAACTGAAATAGCATTCAATTCAATATGCCATATGTACATAACACCTAACATATTAATAACAATCATATATACACACACAATAATGATAATAGCCGTATGAAAATCAAAACCAAGTAGTAAACATGTAACTAGAAATACGGCAGACATAGAATAGAATAAATTTAATAAAAGATTATGCCAAATATCTAAATATTGTTCATAAAATACATAGAACACACTATTAAAAAAGAAATAAATGTTTGATTCATTATCGTATCAGTTGTATACATTCATTACCTGTATGGAAATACAGGATAATCTTTTAATTGATTTGTCTCATAAAATTTTTTATGTTTTTCTGCCATTATTACACGCGATATATTATTGGAAATAGTATTTGCACTTTTCATTGCTTCAATAAAATCGTGTGATGTTTTTAAAACAGAATGAAATCCCATAAAATAACTACCTGAAATAAGATAAAATAAATTATTAATTATTAAAAACAAAATGATGTGATATATTTATTTACCTCCAACACGTGAGTTTGTTGTATTTTCATCAAAAATTTGAACAGCATCTTTGTAAGCAGCATGTCCTCCTAGAAACTCATAAAATCATGTTAAACAAGTTTTATTTATTTTTATCAATTATTACCTTTTGGACATTTTTCTCCGGGATTATCGATCAAGAAATATCTGAGATATTTTTGAAAATCTTTTGGATCTGGTCGTTGATTATCGACAGGTGTTATCGGACATTTAATACAATCGGTATTATTCATTGTTGCTGGACAAAATTCTCCTGTTTCATTATTAATTCGACAACAAGGTGGTTTTGAACTTGATTGTAACCAATCAAAATAATCGTCTAACCATGAAGATGGTGATTGAGCAAGATATGTTTTATTTGGTTGTCTTAATGCCTGACCAATTTGAACTAGTAAAGATGATTGAGAACAACCAGCTGAGCCACATAATAAATTTTGTTCCTGAATACTTGTATAATTAATATAATTATCTTGTACAACGAAGTAAACAGGTGGTCCTACACTTAAATAAGTTTCTAAACCATGAAAATAATTTAATACATAAGAATCTTTTGGCATGGATAGTTTTTGATCTAAACCTATTGGAATACGATGAATGACAGAAAATGAGAAACATGTTAGTACTATGAATGAACAAAATAAAATAGCACGTAATATATAATTTCCAAGTACCATGGGTGTCCAAAACTTTGAAAATATTTGATATAATAAACCTTGACTATTATTAGTAGTTGATGATTGTAATTGATTATTAGGATTTTGTTGTAAACAACAGCAAAGATCTGCTCTCATTTTATATTGTCTTTTAGCATCTAATGCTAATAATGATATAAAACATGTTATTTGTAATAGAAAATCGATAAATACAGCTAAAAATGCGTATAATGAAAATACCCTAACGGCTGGCATCGGTGTTAATGAACCAAGAAGAAATGCAACTGATTCACTTGTAGCTGTTAGTAATATACTTGGACCAACACGGCTTACTGTTAAAGCTATATGATATGATACCAGATCAATATTACTTTTACGATTTCGAATGTCTTCTATCTCACCATTGTCTTCTTCCTCATCATCCTTTGTATTTGTTAATGATAGACGTTCAAAATGTTGTACAATAATAAAAATGTTATCAACACCAACGGCTAGCACAAGAAATGGTATCACCTCAAATATAATTAATGTACCAGGAATTCCAATATAAGAAAAAAATCCAATTGATGATACAACGGATAATAGTACAAATAAAACGCCCACAAAACCAATGGTTATTTTTAGATCAATAAATAATGTTCGGCATGAACGTATATGACCAAGTGTTAATGTAACATACAAAAACATAACTGTATAACTAATGGCAATTGTCAATATATCCGAACGACTTTGACGATTTAATTCATCTTGGATCGAACGTTCACTACTATAGTAAACCGTAAAATTCGCTAGTTCATTATATTTTCCAGCTTTACGTAAATTGGTTTGAAGTAATGTAAAATTTTTCATGTAAGATAAAAATTCAGCTTCCCAAACTTCAGCTGTAAATAGAAAATAAATTTATGAGCAGTTTATACCTATTGAATCAATTATTATTATCTTATTTATGGGCCAAAGATACTCTCCAACGTATATATTCGCTTTTTTAAATCTAATTTCTATACCTTGTTTAACTTTTTCAATATCATTTGAATTTTCAATAACGATTGTAATTACAAGAGCTGTAGCATTGTTATACGCTATATCTAAACGATAAATGAGACGTTTAGTTTATTAAAATGTTCAGCATTATTGAACAAAAAAATAAGTTACCTGAATAGTTGCCTAAAATCATAAATGGCATAATTGTTCCACCAAAATCACCAAAACACGATAAACCCAACGGATCATCATTGGTTGTTGTTGGTGCTTGTGTACACCGCGTAAAATGTGATGTATAATCAGTTACCATGAAAGTACCAAAATCAGGATCAAATGTTTGCAAGAGAAGATTATCTTTTGAATTTTGATAATATTGTAGTATACTGAAAACGGTACAATTTTGATTATCGGGTTCTAATGGTTTTAAACAAATATCTTCTAATTTTACAGTTTTGTTCGTATTTGGTATTGTTCCACGAAGACTAGTCACATTCGATTGTAAATCAAGAACACGCAAGAGAAAATTTTGTTCTAATGCTGGACCAAATATGGATTCTCCGATAACACCGAAATAAGTTCTCGTAAAAGATGTTTGATTATCTGGTACAATAATTAATTGTGTTGTACGATAAAATGGTCTAAAAAAAATAGATAAAAATAAAAATTAAAGATTAAACGAGAGTTTAATAATTCAATTTACTTGAAATGTTTATCGAAATAATCTTTTTGCTGTCTTGCCATACTCTCTTTTGATGACCATAATAAAACAGGATCCGTTGTTACTTTGAACAAAAATAATCCACAAGATAATATTCCAATTAGAACAGTTCCAATTGCTAATACGATAAATGGATGTTGAGCACAAAACAAACCAAGTCTAAAGATAAAACAATACATTAGAATTAAAATTAAATGAATATTAGAAGAGGATGAACAAAAAAAGAAAACTTACTTGAAAAATGATCGTTCCAAAAAATTTTCTGTATGATAACGAATTTTTTTTAAAAATTGAAAACGATGAGTACACTTAGGATGATGTAATAGTGTTGTTCTTTCTGAAACAAGAAGAAAAATATGTATAAAAAAATAAAATATCATATTAAATTGGTAGGATAACACACCTGTTAGCTCCTCACTCGTAGAACATAGATTTCTACAACATGGTACTACTATCGCTGATATAACAAAAATGACAAATAAAACAATGAAAATGACTAAACTACAAAATGTCCAAACATCCATATTCAAAATTTTGATTTCTTTTTTTGGTATATCGGGTGGTAATGGACTACATGTGGCTAAACAATCCTACAAGAAAAATAATAACAATAGACATAGAAAATAATTATTAAATGTTATTAAAAACTCTAATGTACCGAACAACTACACGCTGATTTATTTTCATATGTTGATACAATATTTTCACTACAGTGAAACGTTGAAAAATTAAGATAATTATTTATTGTTGTATCGTTTGTTAAATTAACATATATTGGAAATGGTGTTTGAGGATTTTTAACACCAAGAAAATACATAAAATCTTCGCCTGTACATTGATCATAAGGTTCACCACATAAAATATTTAATGAATGTTCATTGCCACCAGGAAATTGAACATCCCTTTTAAAATTAATAATAAATAATTAATTAATAAATATTCAATACTATGAAACATGTTTACCTGCATGAATCGAGAAAACGTTGGACAAAATCTTCTGCAATTGTATAATATATTTGAGCCACGGTCGTTTTATCTGGATATATTCTACTTTGACCATATGCTTTCACAGTTAAAAAACGACTATGCTCTGGATTACATGACATTGAACAAAAAAATGTACGAAAATTATGATAACATGATGGACAACGGCCAATAAGTTGTCCAGCTAAACCAAATTGATTACTCATTGTCCGTATTTGATCAGGACTACAACATGTATATGTTTCAGATCCTAGAAATAGACAAAATGTTTCAAATGTTAAAAAGTAAATTGTACAAAATATTAGTCAATCATTTATACCATTATAATACATTCCACATATTTCCTGGAATGTGTCTAACGCTTCGGCGTCTACTAGTTTTTTAGCTGTACCATTATAAAAACAGTTCGTTATTTTTCCATACATATCTTCACCACACTGGTCATACCATATACAATGATTATCATCATCTGCATTCTAAATATAAACAAAAAAAATAAAAACAAATAGAAAATGATCCATTGAACAATACTTCGTTACTGACCACTGATATGGAAATGAAATAATTATTAAAATGGAATAAAAAGATTAAAATAAATATAATTGAACGAGACATCTATAAATGAGAATAAATTTCAAATTTGTGAAATTTGTATGTAACAGAATTAACTCTATTATAAACAAGTTGTATTAAAAATTATGAAAGACTATAAATTTTCATAATAAAGGAAAATCTAAATGCATAAAGTAAAACGTAAATGTTTATAGTTTTTTAACTATTCATAACGGTAGAGATACCAATCAATCACTCACTTTTTTAACAATGGTATAAATATTACTGTTACTTTGTGTTTTTAACTAGATCATCTGTTTTAAACAGGAAAAAATGTGAATCATACAGTCCATTCTTGAAGATACGTTTCATTTCTAGCATATAATTGTAAGCAATTATTTTCTTTCCATCTCATATTACTCACTTGTTAAGTATTTTATTTTTTACTTTGTTCTGTTCTGTTTATTTTTCTTTATTTATTAAAATATGGTTAAACAATTTTTTTTTAGAAAGAATATATTTTCTAATTTGAAAATAAGTTCTGATGTAAATGAAAATTACTTTAATAGAAAGACAGATCACAGTTCAATAGGAACAGGTCACCTTATAAAGGTGAATGGTTTAGAGAAAAGATAAAAAAATGGGTAGAGAATGGTGTGATACATCTCTTTTATAAGTAAAAAAATTCGTACGTTGATAACATTGTATCCTATTACTGGTAATCATGATCATAGAATGTGAAAAAGTCAAAGTTTTAGTACTTCATAACTTGAATTCATGTATGAGAGACATACCATATGTTACAATCTCATCTGTTAAAATTTGTTTGTTGTAGATTTAAAGGGAAAAACAGAAGGTGAGTTCGTGATACACAAAAGAAAAAAAAAGATAAATTATTTTATTTACATTATTTTCCCTATATGAATAATCTAACGTTTTTCAGTTCTTTGTCCTTTTTTATTGTTGTACTATTAAACAAAGTCAAACAAGAAAAAAAGTGAATAACGAAATGTAACTGTTTTTTATATTGATGCATAAAATAAATTATTATTCAAATTAAATTATACAAGAGTAAAATAGTTGTCCGTATAATAATAAAAAATAAAAAAAATGTTGAAATATCAGAAAGACATTAATGATGTGACGGTTCCATGCCGTCTATATAAAATGTTAAATAATATAGCAATAAAATAAATATCGATCACTGAAATATTTTGAAATACAATCAAAATTAGTGAAAGAAAATATCAGAAAGAAAGTTGCGCAAACAAGTGTATAAGAGAGAATACATACGAGGAAACAAAAAAAAAAAGAATAAGTGAGATTCAACAAAAAAATACTAAATAAATGAGTAAAAATTAGCTAAGCACAGTCGTAGTCCGCGATGATAATGGTGGTGCTTCTAGAATAGTATCATTAAATGATAGTCTAGACATTGTTTTAGAATAATGAAACATTATTTTTGTTTTATGTCCACTAGATATAAAATCAAATGGACTCGTATGTATAGGATTGTATTGTTTCCATTGTAAAATATAACTTCCAATTTGTTGACAGACAAATGTTTGCTGATGAGTATCACCATCATGACACGTAAGACTCATAATTTTTAGTACATCAGGAGAATTTTCTTGAAATGGTTTATCACCGATTGTTGATGACGGTATTATTGTACTAATACTATTACGAATTGCACTTGTCGATAGTGTAGATGATGAATTTTCAACATTTAATAATGATGTACGATAAATTGTAAATATACAATCGCCTTTGAGTATATCAAAATCATAGGTGATCTTTTCTCCACGTTGATTAATTGGAATATGAATCTAGAAACAGTAAAAAATATTAGTTGTCTAATCTAATGCAAAAACTATGATTCAGATCTAAGACAATCGAGTCTAATAAGAAGGGAAAGTAATATTTTATTTTTTTTTAGTTCCAATTAATTTAAGGTGTGTTGCTTTACTGATTTTAGCACGTGTCAAGGTAACGATTGTCTCATAATAATTAGTATAAAAGACTATTCATAATAGAAGCTGAGAATTTAAGAGACTATGATTTGATTAATATCTTTAGCAGAGGTTCAGAATCTATCCGTGAGGTTGAAAAATTTCCCTCGATAGGAAAAGTTTTTTCAAAAACTTTCCCCATATAATCTACGAACAGAATTTCTTTTTGCGATATATTTGCAAAAAGATGTTTCAATTTTTCAGAATATTTCCTTAAATGAATAAGTTTTCATCCAACGATCGTCGGAGTAAACAGGCAGATTCTGCAGCTCTGATCTTTAGAATAGTTTACATACAATGAATGTTGATTTTACGTACTTCATGTGAACCACCGTCCTTGAGCGTTGTTACCACATATTCATTCTCGCCAAATAATGTACTTTCAGTATCAAATTTATCCGGTTCATCATTAACGTACATAGAACGAGGAACGAGACCAGCGTTTGGTAATTGAATCTAGAGAAGAAAATAGACACAATTGTACACATGTAGATAAAATAAAGCAATTTAAAATACTTACCGTACTTAAACCTCCAAGAAAATCGGGGATATTATTTTCATCAATGTAACCAACCAATTCATCCATTTTTAATATGACGAACTTTTCTTTTGTACGTTCTTTGATAAATGTATTAATAATTGTCCATAATACTGGAAATAATTTCGGTGAGCGTGTAAAAATTAATCTGAAAGCAACAACTTGATAGTTAGATTGTTTACAATATATTAGAAAGAAAATTCTATCTACTTACTTTCCAAGTGTTTCGGGATAATGTGAATCCATCACATCAATAATCTGACTCAATAGACGAAAACCTGGCCGATATAAATGTTTTACACTGAAATTCTCAAAGTCAAGTATGAGACACATCGAACTAAAAAATAAAACAAATAATGAAATAATGAAAATTAAATCACTTATCAGAGCCCGAAACGATTTGACATTCGATTCGATTCGGCTTTTTGATCGAATCGAATCAAAACCGAATCTGATTTTAAACATGTTGAGTTGAGCAAGTGTGACTTTTTCACTAAAATAGATATCGTAGATATAAAATACGGAAGATTGAATGTTTGATTAAACAAGTGTGTGGACAAGGAAAATAAGACGAAAAAAGTTGTTGATGTAAACATAGTTTATTTAATGTTGGGAGCAATCGAATCATCATAGCGCCCACAGCAAGTAAAGACTCACAACTTAAGTAAACAAATTGTTCTCTTTCCTTATTATATATAGTTCAGGATGAGAAAAAACCAAAAACTGAACTGTTTAACCGCTGAAGTCTTTTTAATCAAATTAATGATCTTCTACTAGAAAATTTGACTAGTTTTTTTCACGTTTTTCTTCAATCTTTGTATGAGAAAACATACTTATGCGACATTGGTTTCGTTCTTTTCCTTTCGTTTAATATTTTCGCCAATAGGATTGGGTTGAATCGAATCGAACCGTTTTAGGATTCAAAAATCCTGTCTCGAATCGAATCAAATCACGTTTTACTGATTCGTTTCGGGCTCTGTCACTTATACACAAGGTGTTATTACCTTATGGGTTTTCCAAATAATTTTGTGTTTTCATTACACTTCTGTAAACCTTGTTCAACAAGATAAATCGTCTAGATAGAGAACATGAAAAGAGAATTAATGCAAAAATCTTTCGTTTGTTTTTTTTTGCTCTCACATATCTAATAAATTCGTCTTCTCCTTTCAATGATTTCATTAAACCTCGAACATCCTAAAATGAACAAAATTTTAGTGTTTAAAAACAAAAAATATGTTATATTTGAGACATACCATTTCGCCAAGACGCAAGATAAAAATCGGTCTTCCATCTCGATCTGCATCAAGAAATCTACCAGGAAAATATTTCTGAATAACTTCAGGCACTTCATAATAGAGCAGTAATTTATCAATTCCATTCTTTTTTCTCCAAGCTAAACTATGACAAATAAATTCTCGCGTTTTTTCAATATCAAATCGACAAGCACGAAGAAAACGTAATAAATGTGAATCATTTGGCATTTTTTCTTTATATGTTTCAGCTACCCAATTTCTTAACTGTACGAGACAAGATTCTTCATATGGATCTAAAATTCCTATATATCGTTGAATATATTCATCATCAATATTGTCTACAATCTTTTCATTAACTATTGATTCAAGCTGAAATGTTTCTAAATCATTAGTCAATGAGTCAATGTTTGCTGAATATTCAGAAGCAGTTGCTATCGTTGACATATGTGGAGGAGAAGATGATGGAAAAAAATTTGTTGAATCAAATGAAAGATGTCTTCGAGTTGCTTCTAATGTCGGTGATGTTGATTTTTTAGATTCTAGTTCTCTATGAGAATTTATGTTATTTTCTGTTGTTATCGATGTAAGTGATGATAATGATGGTTGCCATTGTGGTATATTCTGTTTGCATTGTGCTGTTATTTCAGATACATAATGTTCAATTACTTCTTTTCCCTGAAACGTAATATAATAAAAATATATAGTAATTTGATTGTACATTATTCATCAATCACTTACTTTACTTAAATTGGATGAATATTGTTTCATAGCAATTTTTTCCACAGTTATTTCAAAGCCAAAAAACGATTTTATATCGAGAAATGCACTTTGTTCAAAACATGTCCATAAAGAATTTTCAGGATGAACATAATAATGACAACATTCTTTGATAATTAAACGTGATGCAAAACTTTCATTGCATGCATCGATTTTTAATGTACGTTGTCGACGATCAAGATGATTTTTTTGTAAAAATATAACTGTATCAACACCAGCAATCTAAACTTGAACTATTAATTATACATAAATGAAATTGATTGAAAATTTTTAAAAATAAACCTTTTTCAGAAGATATGGTGCATCAATATTCAATCGACAACGTCTCTCAATAATTTCAATTGCACCATCCTCACTTTTATAGTCTGATATAATATCACTTCCAAGAAAAACGGGAATCTAAACAAATAACAGAAACTTCTGTTTTTTTTCAATATTTTTTCATTGTAAAAAAAAAGAAAATGTTTAGTTACCATGGGACATGTGGGAAATCGTTTTTCATATGCAGCCATGACAAGTTCAAATGGATAACGGTACACTCTCACAGGTGACTGATATTTTTGTACCATATTTTCAATAAATATAATTAATTTGATTAAATTATCGATAAATAAGAGAAAAAATGTTTAGAATAAAAAATAACATGAATATTCAGAAAGTATATACAACCCATCTAGAAAATATTAAAAATCTAATTATATTCAGATAATGAGTTTAAGTTTCAATTAAAGAATGACGATGATGTATGTTTACTTTATTATTAATACTATCAAAATTAACTTTGTAAAACGTTTTTGAAATCTTATCAACAGTATATTGTTATGGATAGAGGCTACATTGGCAAAAGAAAATCTATGGTTTGATAAAAAAGAGAAAAAAGTTAAACTTATTTTGTTAAAATAAAAGTGATAAATATTTTTTTCATATATTTTATATTATGCGTTTTGATAATGTACACCTCATTATTATTTTAGTTTTTTCTTCTTCTCTTCTCTACCTACGTATTCTGATAAATAGAAAAGCATTTTATTAACTATTAATATTTTAGCAAAATCTTTGCCGTTATTACCACATTAAAAAGAAAACATAGAAGAGAAGAAAAAAAAAAAACAGCAACCTTAGAAATTATTCACCTAGGACATCTGTTGTTGTCAAAAAATGAACAACTATTCTCTAGAATATGATTGTAAATGTTTATGAAGTACTAAGGTTAGTTTCTAATAAATTTCATGAAACAAGTGAACAATTATTTATCATCATTCTATATTTCTATAGTGTATTTTTCTTTTTTCAAAGTCTCGATTTTCTACTTAATAGAACTTACTATTTGTCTTGTGTTACTAGTAAGAAGAAAAAAAAATGTTTTTTTTTTTCATAAGTTATTTGTTCTAAAACATTGTTATGATAATAATATAACATGTAACATAATATTCTATGTATAAGAACAAAACGAAATTAAATATGTCATTGACTCTTTATGTATAATCTCAATTGATTGAGAGTTTCTGGAAAAAAAAAAATTTTTTTTTGAATAAAAAATGAATGAAACAGAAATTGATGGTAGATAAAATTTGATTGTAGATGTATGACAGTATATGATACAAACATAATAATAATAAGTGCAAAATATTATATACTGTACATTAACAATACTGATTTGATATACAAATCACGTCAATTAACAAACATATTTTCGGTTTATAAGTGATTCTTCGACACTAAGTTTTGTTGACTGTCATCATCTCAATATATTTATAATATAATCGGTAGATTATTATTCTCGACACTCAGATATGTACTATGAAAAGAAAAATAATTCTGAATGTTATTTTAGTTGTATGAGCGCTATATATATACACACAGAGAGAGAGAGAGAGAGAGAATCCTTTTTCCCTGTTTACAACTTAAAATTCAATGAAAACAGCAAAGTAAAAAAACAGAATTCATTTTTTTTAAGTAGTATATTAGAAACCGAATGAAAAAAGATTAGATGAATAAAAAGACACGATTAGGATAAATTGACAGAGACACAAAATAAAGTACCATACGGAGGATAGTTAAACCTATTCTTAATAAAGATTAATTAAAAATTCATAAACGCGTTGTTTTTAAGAATACAACACGCAAAAAACATACAAATTTCTTACAATACTTATTAAAAATACTTTGTATACGTAGAAAATGATATATTCTAATCGAGAAAAGAAAAATGTTTTTCTATTCATAGGGCTTTTCTCCTTTTTTTTTTTATTACTTACTTTTAGGGTAATGCTTAGAATCGTTTGCAGATCGAGTCTAACAACATATGTATTGTATATACAAATAGTTAAAACAACCATTTTCATTCTATCATCTATGAAAGGAAAATACAGCGGTCATTTGATAAAATAAAGAGTGAAATTCGCTGAAAAATAAAACCCAAATATATCCTGTATGTTTTTTCTAAACATTTATTTAATACCAAACACAAAAATCAAAGCCAAAACAAAACAACATTTCAAACGTACGTTTGTTTTTAAGCTTATAACACAAACAGTTGCATGAACAAGTGGATGTTACCTTTGTACATACACACACACACAGTATACTGATAGAATGAGAAGTTCATCATTTTTCAAACAATGTCAGTACAAAAACTAAATCAAGAAAAACAACGACATTATCAACAACGTGAAGAATGGGAAACACAGAAATGAAGTCGAATAAATTACATAGACTAATGTATGAAAAAAAAATAATAGCAGAAAAGTATTGCACATAAATTCGGTTCCTTTTTTTTAAACTCCAGCATTTATAAAAGACCATCTTCGCTTCTACTCCGAAAAAAAAAGATGTTAACCGATCTTCAGATCAACAGTAATGTGTAAAATATTTTCGTATTCCAATTGGTAGCAGTGGTGTTAAGTTCAGAAAAGGTTCCCGAAAAAAGTCCGTTTCCTTTACATATCTTCAACCTTATTTTTAAATGAAAGTTCAAAGTCAACCTCAGTTATACAGGATTTCATAACCTCGGCGGGCTGTAACATAAGATTTTCAAAAAAAATTGATCGACGATGAGACTAACATATCTAATTCTAAAACAAAAATAGAGAAAAAAACTCGAATCTAAGTAGATATTATACATATAAAAATCGAGAGGGCCAGAAAAAAAAGTACATCTAAAGAATGAGATTTTTTTTCATGATGAAAATAGAAAAGAGCATATACAGCAATGAGTCTCAAACTTCCTGATTTAAGATAAACGAAATTTTTTTTTCTTTTTTTTTTTGGTGTAAAAAAAAGAAAACTTGATTGGTTGCCTAAACTATTGACTTGACTTTCGAGTTATAATACGTATCAATATACATTTCAATCTGAATTTCGTTAAAAATGATGGAACAAGATCAACAATGCCGTTTGGTGTTCATATTTCTCAACTTTTACTTTGTTCAATTTAATAACCAAACGAAATGACGTAATAGAAGCAGAAAATACTTACATACACACTTAAATATATGTGAAATATAATAGAAAAAACAAACACATACAAAAAGAAAAAATCTCTAGGAAAACTAATAGCTGTTGAGACCCATAGTGAACATAAAAAATATATTTATTTGAGAAACAAAATTAAAAAAAAACACAAAATAATAATATTCGTTTTCAGCTTTTATTATGATTATCGTTAAAATCTTGATTTATCGGAGGAGACAACTCATCTGCAGAATCAGATGAATCCCAATCTGAAATACCATTCTTATATAAATTAAATTTTCGAGTATTTGATAGTTTCTCTGGTATACGTATTTTACTATCATTTTCATCGTCGTCAGATTCAGATAGTGAATCGGCATCTTTTGCACGTATTAGAGTGGTTTTAACCCCCTCCTTATCAGCTACATTTACATCATTCATAGTTGTTGGTGACTGTTGTTTCTCTTTTTCTTTATCTGATGTGTCTAACGATTTTGATGGTCCAATAATTAACGATTCATTATTTGATTCAATTAGTTTAAAATTCGTACTCGGTTTTTCGTCCGATAATGATGGGGATAGATCCTGATGAATTACCGTGGTAGATTGACTGGTAGATGACGATGTTGGAATCAGATCAAATAATACAGAAACCTAAACAAAACATATATTAATGTATCAAAAGAATTAAAAATCATGTTTGAATCGTTTTTCTTTTCTACAATGGTTTGACAATTCACTACAGACTCATCATTCAGAGGAATAGAATAAAAATTCATGTACCGAAAATGTTGCAGGAGTCTCACGATGACATTTATCTTTGTGTAAACGATCAATATCTTTTTTTATTAATGTATAAACATGTTTATGTCCTATATCATTGATTAAACATGAACTCAAAGTACCAAGATTACTTTGAGGTTTTTTATCAGTTGTTGTTAAAATTTTTTGCATTTGTGGATCAACAAGAAAGAAAGTATTAAACCAAAAATGACATAATTTTTCCTAAAAGAAAGAAAGAAAGAGATATATTCACTATAATAATAAAATAAATTTTATTTACCACTTTTCCACGTTTGTTTTTTGCATATAATTCTATTAGAATATCATCTTCCAAAGGTATTCGACATTGTTGATTTGATGGTGGTATAAAATAACGTTTACTTAAATCCCATACATTGTACGGTGAACTGCCAGTATCACGACGACTAGCTAATTCACGTTCAATGGGAATATCAAATGATTGATACTGAATTTTGTGATCAGCTGATTTCACTGTATAAGATAAATCTGAAAGAAAAATAAATTTGATAGAAACTCTTGTGTATAATTTTTTTATTTTTAACATTGTAAATATCTGACAGAGGTAATAAGTTTTCAATTTAGAAATATTAAAAAGAACTAGTTGCATGAAATGTAAAAATGATGATAAATAAAAAATTTGACTTACTAGTGTGTAATACTTGATTATAATCGTAGGTTATTATCAAACCGGTAAAGCATATTTGCTTTGATGAATATGATGCTTGTGTATTTAATAGATGCCCGAAATATTCAACATATCGTCTTTGACTAGGAATTGTGACACCCTGAAAAGAGGTAAAATAGATTAGTTTTATAATTACTGTTGAGATGATAGTCATACTTTTTCATTTGATGTTCGCTGTTGTGCATAGTATTTTAATGTATCTAGTGGATCATTATATTCTTGACGATAATAGTATAATAAAAAGCAACAAGCCATAACGCCTGTTCGTCCTTTACCAGCTTTACAATGAATGACTAATGTTCGATCTTGTTGATCTTTTAATTGTGATTCAGCATGTTGACAAAATGATAGTATCATTTTGAGTGATGGAGGATTATGATCTTCAAATGTAAAATCAGAACAAACTTGATTATTAAATCGTGTACTATCATATTGACGTTCTTTTTCAACACATCTTAATAATAGAAAAAAATATATATTATTTTAAACCAGTATTTAGTATTCACCATTCCAAATTTAGGTATTTACGTACAAATTATAAATATAAAATTTATCACCATGTTTCGATGATAAAAATCTATAAAATAAAAAATTGTAAGAATAAAAATAATCTTTATATGAGTACACAACAATTTACCTGCTCACATCCCCAATATTGTTACGATAAACACTTTCATAGCTGTCAGCTGGATAACCCATTGCTACTAAATTTGGTCGAATATCTGTTAGTTGTTCAAGGTACAAATATTCTTCGAAAACTATGTATGACAAAAGGACATCAATTCACATTCAACAATATCAGTTGTATCTAATCCGAGACGAAAACAACGGCTTCGTATCATGCTATCTTACGAAGAGGAAGACAAAGTTAACGACTTTTAACTCTAAAATTTGTACATTGACTATCTCTTAAAATCTCTCGTTATATTCAGAAAATTTTGAGACATGGGATATCGACCCATCGACCATGGGAGTATCACTACAAAAAGATGTTTAAATCTGCTAATTAGCCATGAAAGTTAAAATGATATTGTTAGAGACATAAGATAAGCCTGATGGTAATGTGTATATACGTTAAAAAAAAGGATACAACTTAAATCTAAATCAAAACCATCTTGTTGATAGCGTCGTTTTTTCTTGCTAATAATTTTTTTTACACGATTCATTATCTTGATACAAATTTCAAAATTGAATTTTTCTTATAATTCAATCATACTAATGTTTAATTTATTTACAGATCTACAAAGACGAGATTCTAAAAAGCGAAGGAAAATAAAACAATTAAACGAAAATATGCCACTATAATAAAATTCATTGTTAGAGACAGCTTTGACATTCCTACGTAATCAAAATCTAATATAAAATCTAATTTTACTGTAACTCAATATTAATTCTTTACCTAGAGTATTAAATACATTTTAAATATGTTCGTTTTTATTTCTGTGCATGGTCACGTATCTAGACGATAATACAAAGTACAAAGAAAGGTCAGTCGGAACAGTATGACATTAGTGACATTTGGAACCAAATAGTAAAAATCGTTCATTCAACACGATTAATGAATAGAATGTTATTAGTAAATCATTGATAAAATTAATTTTAGTAAAAACTTCAGTTTAGCAGCTTAACTATTAATGCTTCTCAAGCAAAAAAAACATCAAAAGAGAAAATTTATTACATTAGAGAAAACTGCTACCTAGAGATGGATATTCAAGCCAGTATCGTCCGATTTGTGTATGATCCAAATCCGACAAGTTTTGAGTATCTACATCTTGTATATCCACAAACAGTAAATATACGGCTCCACTTACGTGCTGTAAAATCCATGTACAACGTGTTAATTTTTCTACTTACATTCGAATGGTGTTTAAGATAAAAATATCCCGAAAAGTTGATGCAACTCAGGTACTCGAAATAAATATTATCGAAAAGTAGTTCTCTTTTACTATGAAGAAACGTTCTGCGAACTTGCTTATATGTCCATTCGAAAAAGTATCGAAAAGCAAAACTTTTTTTCCAAAACCTCAAAAGATAAAAACACAAATTTTGAACTAAGACCAATACTGGATCATTCACGAAAAGTGAGGTGGAAGTATATATAATTTTCTCAACTACTATGGTTTAAAATTATTAAGAACGATTAAATTTGTATATTGAGAGTTACGAAAAATTACGTTCTAGAATATCTTTGGTGGGTAAGTGGGCGTTTGTACTCGTTATACTTGTGGGTGTGTACGATATATATTATTCATACTAATTTTGTCCGATTAGTACAAAGAATTTGCATTAACTGAACATGGATAGAGACGGACAAAGATTTACCAGAAATAAAGTCTCCATGCAGGTTTCGAATAACTTAAATCGACTCAAACGGAGAATGTACGCGTTTCAATGTTTGATGCAGTTTGAAATGTACGCTTCGTACGGTGAAACTAGACATTGCGAACGCGTATAAAATCGTAGTTAGAAGTTACCTGCCAATAACAGCTGTTAAAAATGGCCACCAATTTTCTTTTATTTCTCTCTTTCTGTTGAATAAAAATTCAACCAATGTGTTTATATACTGGATTAGATGTATGTATTCTGCTATGACTATTAGATCATTCAGTTTTTTCGACGAGATGCCGCCTATATGTGCCTGGTCTAAACCTTTTTCAACTTTTGATACTTCTACAGATTAAGCACACCCCTGGTGAAGAGTGTGTATATATACGTAGATATATAATGAACAGGAAAAAGAAATTATTGGTTAAACAATATTACGTATTGAACGGTCAAAGAATAGATGACTCTATTTACAGATAAAACAGGACACCGTTGATTTAAAAGTATCTATAGGCGAGTGTATATATTAAATATTCGTGAAATGAAAGAACAAAAATAAAAAAACAACAAGCAATACAGCAGACCAGGTAGAACAAGTATACATTATACTTAACGTCCTAGTCGAGATTTCCGGCCAAAGTCCCGCGGGACTTTTTGATAAACTCCCGCGGGAGTCCCAGTAAAATCCCGAAAAATCTAAACAAAATTGAAAAATGTTCTGCGAGAGTCCCAGCAGGATCCCGTGAGGGAAGTCCCTATAAAACCTTCGCAACGAAAAATCGTAGACAGCTCGGAAACGTCTTAAATTAAATTTTCAACTCTTTTCTGCATTTTGAGATCTCTTCCCAGGTCGACTCTCACGGCAAAGTCGCGACGTGAGCTACGGAAAAAGTCATGGCGTGAACGCGTAACGCGATCGCCATTGGACTCACGAAAAATATCACGATTTTCGCGATCACTATAAACTCACGATGAAAGGGGGATTTTCCAATCCACTCGTAAAACTCACGGCGTGGCTCCCGCTGTCGCTGCGTAAGTTCCATGTTTTTCCCAATATTTGGACGTGAGTCCTTATTCTCGCGATGTGACTCATGAAGTCGCGTCGTGAGTCCCGTGTTTTATCAAAAATTCAGCGCGACTAGCTGTTGTCGCGACATGACTCCCGCTGTCGCGACGTGACTAAGCAGGGACTCACGATTTTTCTTCAGCAAGACTCATATCGCGCCTTTTACTTACTCGCGCTTGTTTTTTCTCCTGCTCCTTGAAGTGCTTATTCGATTTGGAGTTTTCCTGTCTGAACAGGGCTTGTATATAGGGTTTTTATTTATTTTTCAGGTTTTTTGAATGAAAACAGTTTTTTTAGGAGTTGTTTTTAGAGGTTTCTCTTTTCTTAAACTCACATTTCAGTTGCTCAACTCCGGTTCGACACAAAAGGTACTCGGTTGATCAGCTGCAAAGTTAATAGACCTGCTTCCGTCCTTTCGGTGCGAGTTTAATTTCCATAAGGCAACGCCTGCCGTACGTGAAGAACACATTCACGCTAGGATTTTCATCTGGGATCCCAAGGAAGCTGACGCTAAGTCCTGCTCGTTATCCTGTAGGATACTCTATGCAGTTAGGTGAGCTTTTTCATGCCCCATCAAGGTGGCCCCACATTTTTTTGTACTCACTAGTCAAAAGAGAATGGGATTTTCTATAGAGAGCACAATACCTAAATTTTTCAAAAAAAAGATTAAAAATGATCCTTTATGATTATTCCACGTAGAAACATTCGCGAGAATTTAGGATCAAAAAGATGGCGTAATTCTGGTGGAGCTCTTGAATTCTTGTTTTACTGGAAGTCTGGCAGCACCGTTGTACATAACTGTAGTTATTGATCGCACCATGTTTTACTCGGACTTTTCTTCAAGAACATGATGCGGCTTTTTGAAGTTTACATCGATCCTACGATGCGTTCAGTACTCCACAATTTCTATCTAAAAGATATTTTTACTAAAGAACTTATACGAAATCAAAGTGAGTACACAGCAAAAATTTTGAAGATCAAGTTCCTCCTTTAAATCCTTCCGGTATATTTCTGTCGCAATGTTGAACTATCTTCTTTACTCTATTTCTGAAAAGTTAATCATTTTCTGGAGTTCCAATTGAAACTCTAGAAAATCTATCCTCAAAAAGTTATGATTAAAACGCCGCTAGCTATATTTCGATTTATTTTTTGGAAAAAGTGGATCTCGCCGTTTTAATCATAACTTTTTGAGGTTACATTTTCTAGAGTCCGAAGAGATCTCAAAATGCAGAAAAGAGTTGAATATTTAATTTAAGACGCTTCCGAGCTGTCTATGATTCCACTATGTTTTACTCGGACTTTTCTTCGAGAACATAGTGCAATCAAATTTTAATGCGTTCGTCGAGCAGACAATGCTTTTGTCATGTTATAATCTCATCTGAAAGAGAAAAATCAGTATGACTACAGAGGCAGGTAGTAAATTTAGAGGATGTACACAGCAAATTCAGCTCTCTGTTCCCTTATCTAAATAGGACTCATTTTCGCTAGTCACAAAGTTACACTATCGGATTTTTGGACAAGTTTTCTTTTGAGACACATCTCTTTCACGGATTAACTCAGCCCGTATATGTCACAAAGAAGAAAGAAAAACAACTTTTGATATAAAAGGGTCTCTTAAAAGGAATGTTTCTTAAGATAGTGGAGACGCTGATTTCATCATGTTTTACCCGGTTTTCTCTTCGGGAACATAATGCAATCAGGATCAATCATTCACCTCAGACTCACTTTGAAGTTGAGATCAAAACTTGTACACAGTAGTTTTATTAACACGCCCTCTCTTTGTCTAAATCCTTTCTACTTGTCATAAGAACCATATGAATAGTTTTTTCTCATGTATGTCTCAATTATGGTTTGCCATATAACTGGCATTTGATCGCAGAATAAAAGTGAGAGTGGTTAAATGTTTTATAGCTCGCCTGTGAGTTTTACCGTAAGGTAACGTTTGCCATATGTGAAGAAAACATTCACGCTTGGACTTTCAGAAAATGTATATCCGTAGATATTATCGCTAGGATCACTTAGTTATTAGAGCCAATCTAATATTGTGCGAATGAGACGAAATGGCTGAGCCCCAATCCTCCGTGCGTCAAACAGAACCGAACTGATCATCGCTACATCCTGAGAGTCACTAACGGCAAAGCGATATTACACCGAGGATACTCACAATTGTTATAACATCAATCTTTCATGCATTTCTCACTTCTGTGCAGTTTTATTTTTGAGATCTTTACACAGCAAACATTAGCTGAGTTTATACACTAAGAAATCTCCTAGATTTGGTGCATTTCATGAGAAAGAACGATTTTTGATACCCCAAATGAATGAAAAACTGCAGCTGTGCGAGTAAATAGAAAGGATTTTATATATCCTTATTCTCTCACTCACTGCAACTGCTGTGTACTTACTCGGTAAATTGGTTGTTTTAGCGATTAAGTTGTACTTTAAAAAAGTTCAAAAAGGAGATATAAAAAAGTTCGAGTATAAAAGTATTTTACTTTAAGAAATAAAGTGCCTTATATAACAGGCACTGTTTTTCATCTCGTTTAAAATGAGAAAAAACGTTAGTATCGTCAAATATACACGTGGCGTATGATATCCTATAGATATGAGTGATTCTGGTGATTTTTGTACCGTTCGACTTAAGCTAATAGAAATGCATGATTCCCCGTTAATACTAAATCGAGCTTTTAGAAGCTTATGCCATTTTATTCCGGACACTTTACTCTATATATACTGCTAAGATCTCTTTTCTGTCTTATTTCCTTAGTGTACAGTAAGCAAAACACTTTGTTTTTGGGTTCTTTTCCCCTTCTTTTCTTAGTGTTTCCCGCACGTTCTTTTTTCTTAATTAACATTTTTCTTCTCGTGAGGGACAGCGGAACAAAATCTTTTTTGCTTTTTGTGCAGTATTTTATCTGCTCTGTTAATCTGCAGTCTTAGTTTTGCCGCATCTCTTTTAGTTTCTGTGAAAACTTCGATGAAATGGTAAAATAACAAAAGCACAACCAAAAAAAAGAGAAAATTGAAATAAGAAAATCCAAAAACAACGCAAAAATACTTAAACTGAATAGAGTTCACGGATTTGTAATACCAGATTTTCAAATGGTCTATCACCAAATGAACGTCGCCGCATAAATTCTGTAAGATATGTATTTAAAAGGCTTACAGACATTCCCATCATACTTTTGTTTTTTCTTTTGGCACACATCCGCATATTTTCAATATTTTGTGTGTGGACTGCCATTCATCACTGTAAATCGTAGTACCTGAAAATAAATAAATTATTAAGAGGATGTGTAATATAATATGTACGTATTCTATCGGGTCTAATGTATTGCTGGATAATTGGTAAAAGTGTTGCTGCATCACGACGTCCGACGGTTACTACAAAACATTCCCTTGTATCCCTATCAATGTCACCGAAATACCCACTGATTCTTCACAACCCGACCTCGATTGTATTTGCGTTTCGTCCATAAATTTTCGTCGATTTCCACCACATGCCCAACACCACCAATCACCCCTGGATGCCTTAAAAAATATTCAGCGCAGATATCACGAAGGAAATTTTTCCAATCTACGATAGTGGACTCACTCGCAAATTTGCAATGTCGTCGAAGAAAGTCATGAATATCAACGCCTTGTGACCAATAAAACATTAAGTCCAACACATGTTGTATTTCTAATTTTGATCCCGAGAAAAATGTGACATCACGAATTGACCGAGTTAATTTGCAACCTTTTTCACGACAACGCCACTTATATTCTAAAAGCAACATGAAATATAAATTAGTTTTTGATGATACATTCAGGTTATTACTACTTACTGTCGTTGGCTCTTGATTTTATTGTCCCATATGAGCCATTAAAGATAAGACACGACATATCACCGTATAATGCTGCTCAATCGACCACTCAGATTTCTTTCAAAGTAGGAGATTTCTCTAGAGCAAACATTTTCATGAATTTTGATGAAGATCGGAGGTCTTAAAGTTGTTGTGCTGCTGAGATATTCAATTTTTACGAAAAGCCCCAGAAAACGAATACTTCCCCATCTTGAAAAATTGTCAACTTAAACCATGTGTAACTTCGTAATGACATATGACTTAGACTAATCAACTTTATCATAACTACTGGATAATGTCGACTACAAATTCAAGCAACCGTGAGCTCTGCACATGCTTTCGTTCTTTTGCAGTAGATGACGCGCCGACAGCCCCAATCGTCGATTCGGTCAACTTTGGCGAACAACCCTATTGAAACGAAAAGAAACATGAGATCCTCAATCATATTTTCAGATAGACTATATGTTGGACTGTTTCTGAAATCATTTTGACAATCTCAAGTATTTTCGTTTTCGATGTAGGTTGCTTCAAAGTTGCCACTTTTAGCAAAATGTGTCATTTTGGCAAACGGTTTTCTCGCTGTAAGCCGGGCGAATTTCCCGCTCTCTATGGTATTGTTGAAGTACACCAAGTGTACTATCATGAGCTATGGTGGGATTTTTGGGATCTCTTAAAATGGCTTAGGGAGTCCAGTCGGGAGGACCACGTTTCAGAGCCATCGTTAAATCAACATTTTCCTAGTACGATACACTAAAAGAAAGATCAAAATCAACTCATATAGATAATTTTCAACGAGCAATTCAGTGATGATACTATAACAAGTTGATTGTCACGTTAATACAGTTTCAGGTAGGGCTTGTGCCCCGGAAGCCTCTCCTATTGTTTCCATTGGTTGGATTTTCAATAAAATCAACTTAAGCTAAAATGTTTTCAACTAAAATGTTTATAGCATCAATCACTAATATTGCACTAAAGCAGTTTGATCGAGTATTTTTGCATACAGCGCTTTTTTTTGGTGGCTATTCTTGTATAGCATGTATGACCGTTCAATACGTTATATTGTTTAACCAATAATTTCTTTTTCCTGTTCACTATATATCTACGTATATATACACACTCTTCACTAGGGGTGTGCTTAATCTATAGAAGTACGCAACTTTTTTCTTCCTATTTCCTCACAGCATCTGTTTTTACTAAGAGACTTGGTTGATACTCGAGTTACGAGATGGTTTATTACTAGAAACAAGCACCTAAAGTTGAGAAATTTTCATTATTTGGTCGGCCATATTTGACCTCTGCTCATTTTTTCTTCTGGCAGCTAGCTTTTAGCAACTACTGAAGTTACCTGTTATTGGCAGCTAACTTCTTACAACGGTAAAATAAAAGTAACGGCAAAAACATAAAAAGTCAGTAAAAACGTGACATCATGAAAACTAATGTCACGTTTTGTTTTGCCATGAATGGGGGGGGGGGGGGGGTCAAGGAATTTGTATAATGCCGGGAGCGCAAATTGGAATTTTTGCCGGAACATGCCCCGTTAAATTTTTAAAAATAAAATGGCGNCCCCCCCCCCCCCCACCCCCCCCCCCCCCCCCCCCCCCCCCCCCCCCCCCCCCCCCGCCCCGCGGGCCCCCCCCCCCCCCATGAAGGTAATGTCATAAATAGCGTGAAGGCAATATCATATTTTTCCCGTTACATGCCACTGTAAATTTGAAAAAAGAAAAGTCCGTCACTTTTTTTCCTAGGTTTCTCTGAATCAGGTACAAAAGTTCGTTCCCTTATTGAGTAAGGTCAGTGAAGTACAGAATTACGAGCTTTTCAACCCGGAAGTTGCCAGTCAGATCTGTAATTTTTCACGAACTTCAATCCATATTTTCATGGATCTGACTGACAAATTCCGGGTTGAAAAGCCTGTGATTACATATTTCACGGACCTTACCCAATGATGGAACGAACTTTTATAGGTAATTCAGAGAAAAGTAGGTGAAAAAACCACGCACTTTTCTTTTTTCAAATTTACAGCGATGGTATGTTTGTCCTGTTGATTGCTCCATTTTCGTTTTGTACATTTTGCGGAAAAGTGGTGAACATTATAAGACACTGCATAGCGGGAATGAATGATTACTGTCCATCGGGGCAGACACTTTTTTTCCGTATTGGAAGAACAGCTTACATTGTTATCATTTAGTCCTTTCAGACGGCGTTGGCGACAGCCAGATCCAGTTTTGAACTTCATCGGAGAAAAAGCGATAAAAAGAACTTTTAAAGACCAATTTTTCTTTTTTTTTTTATATAAGGATTTAATTTCCACTAATTATCCACTAATATTCATTGTGACAACGAATAAATTTCCAAGCAGAACAAACATTCATCAATAAGGGGACGATCAACCAAATTGATTAATTTTTAATACTTATTTGGGAAGTAGAGTAGTCGTGATAACATGATAACCTTCATAAAAATATGTATAAAAGGCACAGATACACCACTCTCTTTTCACACTGTTTTAATAATGTCTGGTAAGTCAGAAGAAGTTTTAATAATGTTTGCTGAATTTATTGAATCTACACATGGCAAAAGACAATTATGTTACCTCGGTTATCGATATTCTAGTGGCTAATTGAGATATATTTATATCTAATCAACGGAAAGTAAATCCATATATAAGAAAATTATACTTTTCTATGAAAAAAAGCTAATTAAAATAGAAATTAATCAACGGACAGTAATCCGCGGACAGTAAATCGTGTAAACCATAACGGCTAATGACTTTTCATGGCTGAATGTTTTTATCTGAAACAAAGGAAAATAGCCGTCATGTAATTTATTAAGTAATCGGACATTCTACTATTTGCTTAAAACTAAAATAAACCAACCCGTTTGTCTGACGGTCGGACAAACAGACAGTTGTACCTCTGTGATAAAAGAGATTAAGCCAATAAAATTAATCATCGTGGCGAAATTAGTTCAGATCAGAAAAAAACGAATTGGTCTGTAAAGTCGTTTTCTTAATCTTCGAAGTGGAAAACAGAGTGAGAATCAACTTTTATAAAGTGGAAAAGATCGCTTTGCTTTTGCAGGGACCACCAATCATTAGGAACACTGTCTAGCATTGTGATGACGCTGAAAATCTATGGTTTGAAAAGGGAAAAATGTGACAGGGCGACGCAACAGTAAAAATGTGACAGCAAAAGTTACCACAACACCGTAGTTGTGGATGACATCCTAAATTGTACAGAAGTTCTTAGTTTGTACAGTCAAGGAGACTGAAGTTCTTTACATGAAACAAGAAGGTAGAGTATATGCGATGGATCTGGACAGTATCAAGTTATCTCGCCTTTCTTGATTGACGAAAATTTTCACTCGGTGTTGACTATTGGGACATTTCCTACCTTCTTGCGTCCAAAATACATCAAATCTTTGCACATCGGCATTGAAATAGTACAGTTGGATTACTTCTACAACTGAAAATTAAAAATATTGATGCTTTTTTGAAAGGTCGATATGAATACAAAGTTAGATGAGATTTTTTAATATTCTAAATAAGTATTTTTTTTTCGTACTAACTTTATTTATTCCTAACACTTCGATTGATAGTTCGATCTTCCTCAGTGGATACAAATATTGATTAAATTAATTAAAATTACATAAGCAAAACAATTTAGCAAGAACTTTTAACATAGGGATATCTTTTTATTATCGACAGTATATATTATAAATAAAAAAGCGGAAAAATATCTCTATGTTAAAAGTTTTCTGTTTAAAGTGTTTTGTTTATGTAATTTTAATTAATTTGATTAATATTTGTATGTACTGAGAAGATCTTCTAAGAGCTCTCGACTTTCAGCGAAAAATGCTTGGAAACCTTTAGGTTTTGAGTTTTTCCAAAACAAACACTGTTTTAAATAATTGAAAGTAAACTGTCGAATGAGCTTGTTTAAAAAGTTAAATGATAATGGCGAATATTTTTAAGTTCAATGTTTCCGAAAGCTCTCTGAGTCCAGTGCGAAGTCGGAATCAACTAAATCCAATGGCATCATCAGATCGTGCAAGCTCGAAAATCCTTAAGATCCGGTGAGTACATTATGGAAATGTTTTGTCTAGACAGTTATTAATCGATTTGAAAAGACGTTTATTCGGAATTCAATATTTATTTTTTAGATAAACATGCAGCATTTGAGCATTCTGCGCGAATACTCGGTAATTGCTGCATACAAATAGAACAATAAACGATAGATTTGTAATTAAATTTCACATTTAGTTCTTTCCACAACTTGTTACTTGTTCTTTCAATATTACTATCAATGCTCTCTAGAAGACTAGTAGTTCTAGAAGTATTTGCGTTTGTTTTATCTAAATTCGAAGGTCGAATCAAATTAACTATTTTGATAATAATGGTACCTCTTACTTCAATCGCTATGATCGTTTTCAGGACTAGTTTGAATAAAAAATATTAACTCAAATAAGTGTTGAAATTCACTGCATAACATACCTTGATATAATATGTTGATCTATTCGAGGATACTGGTGTAATCATCATTTCTCTCGTCAATACATTAACTAGCATATATTCAAATAAAAAAATCATGCAGAAACTTCACTTACACTTTTCACATCTTTCGGTGAAAAGAGAATATATTCTGGAACAATATGATCAGCTTATAAGTATCACTTATTAGAGCGTAACGATCAACTTCGTATACTTAACGACAAGAGCAAGGGCGTCTATTCTGTGGAGCGTTTGAGGCACAATGCCTCAAAGAAAGGTAGGCGGGATGCTTTTTTTTGCTGTAAAAATTTATTTTCCAGGTGGTACACTGACGGCTCGAATCTCTGAGGTGGTACAAAAGGCCTCAAATACTTAGGTGAATAGACGGCACTGGACAAGAGACGTACTGGAAGTTCGATTTGATATCTCAAAAAGGATTTTATAAAATGGAACTTCTTGATAGCAATAATCATCTACAAGCAACGGAAAGTTAGTATCATTGGTAAAAAAAGCCCCTTATACCAGATCCTAAAAAGACAATCGTGCCGATA